TAAGTTTAGATTGTTCTGGGAGCTGCGGTTATATGTCATTCGATTTGCCCCGATGAATTAGCTTACATTGCAAATATCCTAAAAATAGGGGAAACAATCTCCTAATGCGCCAATCACAAGTTCGCAATTTTGGCTTCGCTGTGGAAACAAACACTAGCACTTAAAAAATGCCGTTGGAGAGCGTTTGGTCAGAGCTGTTGAAGAAGGATCAAAGCGGCTATCCAAATCTTTGAAAGGCTTCAAACTACGACGTACATCAAATTTGACCTTGTCGAGAACTGGTCTCACACGACATACTAAAAACTGATTGCGTTTGTCCTTGAGAACCATAGAATACGCAACAAATACGTACAAAAAATACTTTTACACATTCAGAATAAATAAAATTACATTTACCAATAGTGAGAGGAGAAAGGAACTGCTCAACTTTTACGGAATGTTCGGTAAAAATCTGCCGATTTCTGCCGCTTTCATCGCCATATTGAACGCCATCGGAGTACGCACACCGCCTGATTCACAAATGTCAGGTAAATGTATTTCAGGTAATCAACCCTTTTATCTCTGCGAAGTGCTCGAGTTTATTATTTGAATTTTCAAATAATTATTCTCTCGAAGGGATTCGGGATGTTGCGAGTTTTTTTCTTTCGATTTTATTGAGGTTTCAGCGTTTCCAGAAAGTCCAGAGCGTGTTGTGCTGTGTCTTACTTGCCGAAAGGTTGCATAGGAACAATATTCTCGTCACACGATCACAATTCTCGTCAGATTTTGCACCAAAATTAACGGCATTCGTTGTAATGAACACTACGATGTATTATTTGGTATGATAGAAAAAAGAAAGAGGGGTGTTGATAAATCAAGAAGAAACACGGATGGCAAAGAATGAAGAAGATTGAATTAGATTACAAATGACAAACTTATCTTGGAAGGTAAGGTCTATTTTTAATATGCATAAGGTGTGACGTAGCTGGCTGTTTCGTAACTTCTCGGTTACATTCATTAAATCTTTAAACCTGAGTAGCATCAAACCATACCTGATTGTCCACCAGGTTGCCATGTGAACTTTATTATATCTTGTTTCGGAAGGTTTTTCGTTTCTAGTCACACGAGTATGAAACTTCGGCAAGTTTATACGACATTCGTTGTGAAGAGGTCGCGATCTGAAAACGGAACTAAAAACACATGTTGCTCCAATATCAGCCCAAGTAGAAAATAGCTCGTTTTTACGGTTTGATACGTGGAAACTTCGGCATCTTACTTTTTCGACCGAGCAAAATTTTTCCGATTTTTTCATTGATCAAAATCTTGAGCTACGGTCTCCCAAATGAATTACAGAACACTCGTGGACGCCAGAGCAAAAACTTGCTCAGCCACTCTCGGTCAACTTGGAGCAAAAATGTACGAAACGTTTTCTTCGATATCTTTTGTAATCTTTCAGTAAGTAAACGAAAAATAGGACCCCCCAAATAAAGTTTAAAGGGAGCACGATGACCTCAGCTGCAATATTCGCTCGAGATTGATGTTATATATTTAAGTTGAGCACGTGGGTGTAATCATCAGACACTTTTTGGTTTTCAGTTATCGGACGAGCTGCCCTTTCGGCCAATAAAAGATATTCTGGGAAAGCCCCAGCGCCGAGTTGTATCATTCGGTTGACCAACGACTGACTGACGAGCTAAGATGAGCACGTCATTCGACGCAAAGGTTTGTGTTCATCGGCAGAGTCAGATTTAAATGTGACAGCAACAAATTTCAAGATCGAGCACGTTGGTGTGGCCATATATATTTGTGGTTTTACGTCACAAATCACTCACGGATTAACGCTAATAGTTGCTATCAATTACCTTATTCTGGTAAAACCCCTCTCAGGCAGTTCATAACATAGTAGACTCAATTATGCAGGAGTCTTCTGTCGAAGCCCACCAGACCAAGCGACAAGCTAATTTGACAGAGGGCGATATATCGGCATCGTCAGAAATACTGACTTGTTGTGGAAAGGAGACTGTAAAACGCTGATGGGCGGTCGCTGAACGGCTTACAGTAGATGGTGAAAAATGAAAGTTAAGTTACTCAGTTTGCCCTTTTGATAGGTTAAAAACAATTATAAATAGAAAGACAATAGATGAATAAAGTACAATGCACGGATCATCATTAGCTTGATATTTTGGTACTGACTTCGTATATTGGCTTAATAGGATAGGTAAATTGAGGTTAGTGAGTAAAAGGTCATAGTGTACTTCAAACCAGTGTGATTGTTTGTCGCGAGATCAGTTACGACAGCACTACTGATCATCATTAGCTTGATATTTGGCAATGATTTCGTTTATCGACCCAATAATGAGGCAGATACTGTGATAAATAAGTAAACGTGTAGTTAATGCAAACATACACAGGTTAGGGTTAACGTTGATTTAAGGGAGGGCTGGGAGTGCAACAGTTCTGCAGATACTGCTCTTTGGTCTCATAGACATACAGACAAACAGTTAAATATCTGAACATGAGTAAACACTTTGCTATAACGTTACCTTGCAGGAAATGAAAAAAAAGGGATGCAGTTGTTAGTAATTATTTAGTAACTATTCATTGACTTATATTGCGCAATTATCAAAAATTTACAGTTTTCAAAGAAGAGTATATGACCACAATGTAACCTTGAATTGAAAAAGAGCAAAGCCCTGTTGCATTTAAAAAAAGTTCCTATTGTCCATCCATACAACAGCATTCGCTTTCCTTGTCAAGCTAGTCAGCTCATCGTAGGAATTCGATTAATATGTAAAAAGCTATTAAAAAAGAAATTAATATTCATTGGATAGCTTTGGAGGCACGCTCTGATTGACTCCTCAAACTTCGAATATCTTTGCTGTTCACTCTCGAGCATTTCACGCGCGATTTGCGCCCGAAAATATCGTGTACTCGTTATAAGAATAATGAGTTATAATCATCTGTTTTCCTCGCTGCTTCACGGCTCGGTAAATGTTCACCACTTGCCACCTCCACTTCGGCGAATAATTGTTAAATAGCCAACAATTTATGAAAAAAGCTTGACTCGGGAATTCGTTTCTGGTCCGCAGTACTCTTCAGTTGCCTGAGATGAATTCGAGACGAAAACTTCCGTGAAAATGGTGAACACAATATCACATCAAGTCAAGAAAGACAACAAATGATAATATACAGCTTGAATGGTTGAGGGCAGTAAGGAAAAAAATAAAAATAATTTTCGAGTTGTACTGAAACATACGGGACATTTTTTGCTTACTTTGTCACTCAAAGCGCTCGTCATGCATTTGCGGCTGTCGTCGTATCGCTTGTGATCCGCTGTATGTTGTATTATTACATGTACCATGTTGTCCTGCACCTCTCTCAGCTCGACAAAAATAAACTGTAGGTTCCCTCTCTACTGGTAAGGCTCTTTCATTATCTCTGGTGCACACCACGCGCACTCTTTCATTCCGTGAGGGTCGGATATTTTTTACCACGGTGTAGATCTTGACCATACAGCAGAAAACAACCACCAATAAAACGAAGCAAGCCGAACTGATGGTCTCAGCAATCATGACTGGGTAAGGTGTTCGAGCTTCGTCAATGTTTTCAAAAACGTCCGAATAGAGAGGTGGCCAACAAGCAAACTTCTTTGGTCTATAATTGTTCCGCGGCAAATAAAAACGCTGATGGGCGGTCGCTGAACGGCTTACAGTGAATAGTGAAAAATGAAAGTTAAGTTACTCAGTTTGCCCTTTTGATAGCTTAAAAAAAAATTATTAATAGAAAGACAATAGATGAATAAAGTACAATGCACGGATCATCATTAGCTTGATATTTTGGTACTGACTTCGTAAATTGGCTTTATGTGATAGGTTAGCAGACAACACTGATCATCATTAGCTTGATATTTGGCAATGATTTCGTATATTGACTCAGTAATGGGGTAGATACTATGATAAATACGTACACGTGTCGTAAATGTAAACATACACAAGGTTAGGGTTAACGTTGATTTAAGGGAGGGGTGGGATTGCAGCAGTTCTGCAGATACTGCTCTTTGGTCTCATAGACATACAGACAAACAGTTAAATATCTGAACATGAGTAAACACTTTGCTATAACGTTACCTTGCAGGAAATGAAAAAAAAGGGTTGCAGTTGCTAGTAATTATTTAGTAACTATTCATTGACTTATATTGCGCAATTATCAATGCACAATTTCAATTGTAATTTTAAATCATCAAACAATTAATTCTAACGAGTCTCTGTCAATTCCTTTTTTTCCTCGCAATGTTTGCAATTTTTATCTATATTTTCCGTGTCCGCCGGTTGCTCATCCCTTAAAATAGTTCCTCGTAAAAATGGTCGTTCGTTGCCATAGCAATGCAATGGCCCTTCAAAAACATCCTTGACCTTCGTTCGTGACTAATCAACATGTTTTCAGTACATCTGTCGGTGTTTTTATTTCACAATATTTTATATTCTTCCATCTATACTTCCGCGTCCACTGTCGGGTTCTGATTTCTACATTCTACTCAGTTCCTGTTAAAAAAGTCGCCATTCTTTACCATAACAACGCAATGGCCTTGGATAAGCATCCTTGATCTTTTATCGTGGTCAATCAACAATGATCATTCAAGTTTTTCATGATTATTTGTCAAAAACAGATAAACTTCAAATTTGAGTAATCAAACACGGTCGTAAAGGTCATATAAAAAAATATTACCGTTCAGACTTGCTTTATCCTGTCCCCGAACCCCCGAGCGATCTAGCGAGAGAGAACACAAGCAATCTAAATATTGCCTTTGGCTTGTAAAGGATCTGACCAATTAACAGGAATTATGAAATTAAAGGAAATATTATCACATCCACTATTTTATTGGTTGTTATTTCTGGTATTTTAACCTCAAGGCGAGGTCTAACGTACATTCCTGAGGGCATCAATTGGCCAATCATCTCGCGAATGTATCGCGTCATCTAATAGGATCATTGAATTTGGACATAGGCTGTTTATATCCGATTTTATCTGCATTTAAACAGAGCACTCGAGTCAAGATTTACTGTCATTTCCCTTGAGATTACTTACCAGTTCTGTTTGATTTTGCTCGCGCGCGATTTAAGAATGAGGTTTACGACCAAGGTGTCGTCTTCGCAGGAGGCTAGAGTTGCTAAATCGGCGATGTCCGATCAGACTTTTACATTTTCCGTGAAAAAATCAGAGGTGTCTAATGGAGCGGCTATGACGGGTTCGGAGAGCGAGGGAGCTGTCGGCGGAGAACCGCTCAAAAAATCAAGTACACTCAACGTTAACCGCGAACAAATTGAAGATTTCACCAGCGTCCGCGACAAAATCTTCCCTGTGATTAAAGCGCGCTCTTGGGTCGACGCCACGAAGGATTTACTCGTCAAAATTGATCCCAAAAGTAAAGCGGGTGTCTTATTCACGCCATTGAAGAACATTCCGGGTACAAAACTTGGCTACACGCTAGCGATTGTTAACGACAGTCACCGCACTGATTCACTTAACTTCATCTTGACGAGCCATTTAGAAGCTTGGACCACCTCAGAGAGTGTTCTGCAGGAGGTGGCGCTAAAAAATTTGGAACAAAAGCTGGACAGTCTTGGGGAAAATCTCTGGATGCAAAGCAAGACAGGTATTCACTACATTGATAATTTAGGATCGATATCAGCATCTGTTCTCTTACTCCCGCGTTTCATAGCGCGGTTGGATGTAGAAAACGGCGACGCTGTGATTGTTGTGCCTTCCAGTGATCTCTGCATGGTTGTGGGGTCCAAAATGGAGACACGGCTCTGCATCGTAGGAGAAATGTCTCTTCGATATTCCAGCGATCCGCATCACTTGAACGCGAGACTTCGTTTGAGTAAGTCAAGAATGATAATCGCAAATTACACACCGAAATCTTACGCCGGAGAGTTTCCCGTTCCGTCGACGCTCGAAGAAGTCGCTGGCCTAAAACTAAGGGTTACCCCGATTAAAAGGAAAAAATAATTCTTAAAAATGTATCTTTGATTAATATTTTAGTGATGAACACTACTAGACAGAACAAAGGCCACACAATGGGCTTTGTATAAACACTTGAAGACAACTCCGTAAGTCGTCACGTATTGTATCACGCACTGTGCTTACGTTGGTAAACTAAACTTTGTAGAGTTCTTAAAGGAAATAAATTATGAACCATGTTTGCATTGGCCTATAAATAAGAGAACGCTCTGTCTGCAAAGCTCTAGTGGCGCAATTTTTTAAATTTTAGCGGCAAACTAGTGACCTTAACTGTATTTTTAGTTCAATGAGACACAAAGTACTTGCAAACATCTTGTTAATTTAATTAATATGCTTAAGTCTGTAAATAGCTTCAGTGACCCGCTGGGTCAGAAGGGATTTGGAAGGTTTACAAAGGAATGTTTATCTTGTCTTGTTCATGTTGTCTTTGTCAATGTTAATACGGAACGGCATGAAAAAAATATAAAAATAATTAAGTCTCTAAGAGATATTTTGGTTTAAATTTCTCTCGTGACTTATTCGGCATCCTTTTCTGAAATATTAACGCTCTTGTAAGACTTTATAAGGATTCTTGTAACACATCGATGCCGGTAGAGTTTGTACCAAGGACTGTAACAAACCTCAGGAATTGCGTGACCAAGACTGTCACACAGCGCAATCTCGTCCTGGGGAGTTTCTCCGTTAGCTTTCAAGATGGCGGCTGATCACGTAAGAAAACTGACTGAGAAACCTCTACGGGGGAGGTTGCACAACCTTATAGCCTGGGCATTGTGTTACACTGAGTAGACACTATTGCATTCTGAGAGGAGGGGTTGGCGATTAAAATAAAAGTTGCCGGGGAGCAATTTTCGGCGCTACCAGAAAGAGTAATTTAGAAAGAGTCGATGTAGTGGAGCTAAATTCTGCATTTACTAATAAACACTAATTTACCAACAATTTCGTGTACGCCACGACCAGTCTCAAAGATGAAGAAATATAGAAGGTTTCCATCTTAATTCCGTCTAGGATACAAATCATTTCAATGGCTCCTTCAAACTAGATATCTCGTTGTGTCGTCCTCTATGACGTATTTTAAGGGCCATCTACAACAAACACACACGTAGAAGCAACACTGTCTTTTTATAATCAAAGGTAATTCGTGACTGGTAGGTCAGTTTAACCCAAAACAAGCAATAACCTTCCAGCCCTTTCTGATGTCCTATAATGACAGCCTTAAATAAATGGGATAGCGCTGAGTGACCGCCTTCAAAATTGCTTTCTGATAGACTAGCACCCTGTGACTGCGCCACAAATTTTCTCGTGTGAAAATTCAAGCTTAGCTGGCCGATAAAACTCGTTAGTTTGAGCCAACAGCTAGCAGTTTTGATAGCTAAGATAAAATCTCCCTAGCCTGCAAGTCATTCAATTTCTCTTTCCTTAAAAAGCGCGTGAACCAAAAGGGAAAAAAAGGTTCAACTTGACGAACTAAGTATGGCAAGATGGGTTGGAAAGAATTACCCTTTTTTCGGCCACCGGGTTAAAATTCCCCAAATGGACAAAGTTTGTGTCACTAACCAGCCTTGTGAGAGGGTGTATATGAGAGAACACAGCGGTCACACGTCTGCACTGTGCGAACGTTGTAATGACTAGGCGGCGTGCTGTCAGGCTGTCAAAACTATGTTCTCTCACACGAATTACAAATAACCACACAAGCCAGTAAGCCACGGTGTTTTAAAAGCGTATAACATTTTTGGTAAAGCTAAAAAAAAGACTGGTAAAATTAACAGGATACCCGAACTTGAATAAGCTTTGTGTTCGTGAAGTCTCGAGTTTTTTTTCCTACTTTTGATTCCTTTTACAGATTTCTATGAACACTTCAATTTTCTTTCGCTTAATTTTCGAGAAAGCAGCTGTTTGTTTTCTTTAGAAAATTTTGTGCGGGAAATTGGTGCGGAAATTGAAGCGGCCAAAAATGATCCCTTCGCGCATGCCCGATGTTTGACCGCTGTATTATATGACAGGGCCCTTAACTGCAACAGTTCAAGAAATTAACAGGAAATTAATAAAACTGAGGGAAACTTAAACATATTCATTGACTATTACTAAACTTTTAAAATTACATTTATCTTGGACGTTTGCTACTTGTTCAAAACTATACTTCTCAGTCTAAGAGAAAGGAAGAGTCTAATTGAAGTTTGACACAAATCTATATCAGTACAAAAAGAAATTATCACAGTGTTCCTAGAATTATCTCGACGTTGGACTGCACTTGACTACAATTCCTTTAGTTGTGCTAATGTTGTCTTCAGGAGATTCATATGGGCCTTGAGGAATAAAAAAAAAAGAGATGGTTTCAGTTGTTTCCTTACTCAGAGTTATGATCTGATCTCATCTGAGGTCAGAGCTTTTAATAGAGTCACTGTAACTAGCTGTGTTGGAAAAATAGGGGGAAATCTTTAAAGGTGCACTCACTAAAGAAAAAAGAGAGGCACACTGAGAGCAATTCAGTAATGCAAAGGGAATCATTCCTTTATCATAACCCAGTGCAATTCATCATTATTGCCTGCCAAGCTAGAAACGAACCTTAAATATGTGTGTACCTAGAGTGAAGCAGTTATAATAAAGACTTCACCATAGAACTCAGTGTAAACGGTGAATCCCACAGGGACTGCAAAAAACTGATTATCAATCACAGGAAATTGGCAATGGATTCCCATCTAAATTTATCACCACCTTTTCTTTCTTTGGTCATAAGTACTAATTTGTCAACTTGGTGGATGGAATATTGCACTTCTTCTATAATGAGATTCTTTTTATTTTGATCAACAGTGACCCTAGAAACAAAAGTCTGACACAGCAACTGAAAAGGAATGTCTTTATCTGACTGCAGAAGTTTGAAATTATTCAGTTAAAAGTACCTTAGCATGTTTGAGTTCCAGTTCTGCTCGTTCAGTCTAGATGAGGATGAAAATTTTGAAATGATAAGTGGTGAACAGTAGAGCAAGCTTTTTTCACTCTAAAATTACTTTTATCCTTACTCACTGCATCGTTGTTACTTGAGTAGCTTTAGCACAGGCAGCAGAGGAGTCATATTAGACTGTCTTTCTACTTTGATCCACTGTCTTTCTACTTTGATTCACTGTACAATTCATGCATGACTTTATCATGAGAGTTTATTGATATCCCATCCATCACATACCACCACAATGGTCAGCCCAAGAACCTTTCTGACTAAGATAAGCTCGCAGTAAGCTTCTGATTTTTACCTTACGGTTAGTATTTCAATTGATGCATCAACCCTTTAACTCTCAGAAGTGATTAAATGGTAACTTCTCCCATCAAAATCCATACTGCATTCAGTGAACAGGTAATGAAAATACTCAAGCTGATCAGGTATAAGTTGTTATCTTGATCTAACATCAAATTCTTGGTACTAATTTACAAGAAAATATAAAGCAGATAGAGGGGAGAATTAACAATCAGATCTTGGGAGTTGAAGGTTAAGTGATCAAATCTATTGGCACTCAATCAACAAGACCTAGTCCCAGTGTAATTGTATTGGAAATAAAAACATTATTTTAAATGCCTACTAACCATATTCTTTCTGAATTGTTGAACCCTTCTTGTCTTGAAGTCTGTCAGTTCTAATGAGAAAGCAAAACATGTAGTTGAAGATACAAGTTCACAAACCCATTGTATCTGGTACTTAATTGGTGGAAGAAAAAAGCTGCATGACCTGCACTGGTCACATCAGGTCCTACTTTTTTCAGATTAACCCTTACATCAGTATACATATTCTCCATACTGTTCTACATACATTTCCAAAGGTGCTGACAAGGAGAATTTGTTTAGCAATCAAGAACTTCTCTAGTTTATGATCATTTCCTTTATTCTTACGACCTTAATGTTTAATTCAAATGGTGATACAATGAGTAGAAACTATATTCTAGTCACCCTTTGGAATCAGAGGGTTAAGCGACAAAAACAAGTGCACAAGGAAGGGCATCCTAGTTGTTTTAACTTCTCTGTGATGGCCCTTTTCCTAGTTTTATTTTCCTTGACATCTACTTTGCAAGAATAATTTTAGGAAATGTATATCAAGATTGAAAGTAGTTACCTTGCTTGGCTACTTCTGAAATGTGTTCAAATTTTTCACTTGCAGTTTGTTGGGCAGTTTCAGCCTGAAACAGAAAGGAAAAAGAGAATACAATACCTTATTTCAAGAAGGGGACAAATTTACACATGTTCCTCTTAAGATTTCTCAAATCTAACAGCTTTTAATCAAGATGCTAGTTGTAATTGCCTCCAGTTTGCTATCAATAGCAAATTATAATATAGGTGGCTCTTTATGTCCACTGTTTTCAGGCCAATTAAATTTGGAATACTGGGTTTTGTGGGGGGAGGAAAACCAGATGACTGCAGAAAAAGTGTCAGAGCAAGGACAAGAACCAACAACAAACTCAACCCCCATGTGATGCCAAGTCCAGGAATCAAACCCAGGCCATGGCGGTGGGAGGCAAGCCCTCTCACCACAATCTTATCCCTGCTCCCTGCTCCCTGCTACCCTGCAAACGGCAAAATGAAAGTTCTGAACTCACAACCACAGGTAGCATAATATTGGAAAAAACTGTACACACTGATAATTTTTCAATTTTTATGTAAGCTTGTTAACCAGAAAATTTGGAAACAAGAGTAAAGATGAGAGGAAGGTAGTTATCACACCTAAACATTATTTACATCTAATAATTTCATGATTACTTACAGCAGCGATTTCTTTACCCTTCACCCTTGCTTTGTCCAAGGCTTTGTTAGCATTTTCATAATCAGCTAAACATCTTGCCCTGCGGTAAAGCAAGTTCTTGGCAGCATCTGTATCTCGCACGTAATATCTGAGCAAGTCAGATGTTTTAAGATCTTGGTCAGAAGCAACACGGCCTTCCAACTTGCGAGCTTTTTCAAAGTATTCAGACACCTGACGAAAAATCAGATGGGTAAGAATTGTTTCTGGTTGCTCACATCATAATCATGTTCCAAACACATGCCCTAGTGGAGGGCATACAACCATAACCATACAATTGGGTGGGATAATTCTAAAATTATCACCACTAATCAGCGTTACCACCAGCGCCTTTGATTGGAGGCTTGGCATATTAACTCTGCCAATGTTCCTTTAAATCATGACAATGGCGATTTGCTTCCTGATGCCTATTTACAACTTGTCAGAAAAAAAGGCTGCTAATTAGTGATCATATAAAAGGACCTCTTGTTGCAGCGTTTAGATCACCCCTGATGAAGGGACTGATTATGTTGATTATGAATAGTAACTTCTTCAGTTACATTCATTAAATCTGTAAACCAGAGTAGCATCAAACCATATCTCATGTTGATTATGTTGATCAACATGTTGGCGTTCATTTAAATACTGTACATTTTCAATCCAAGAAATGTAAACATCATTTAAAATTTGGATAACACTTAAGAAAAATAGAACAAAACATATTAGGATTCCCATCAAATTTTATGCATTAAGCCCCATCTCCACAGTGAGCACAAGCTGATTACAATCCTGTTAGGATAATAAGTACCTTGTTCAGAAAGCGATCTATTTCCATGTATTCACTGGTTCCCATCTGGGAAATACAGCTAGAAATCCTTATGAAGGAGTCAGCCACATTCTTGTGAGTTTTTGTCATACGGTCTGCTTGACGAGTAGAATCCTTTAACCTGGAAAATTATATTACAAAAGAAATAAATTAGAGTAGAAAAAATAGCCATTTTTTCTATTTGAAATCTAGTCACTGTACATGGCTGGACAGAAGTACTTTTCTCTTGACTAAAATATTTATGGAATATTTCGTCTGAAGTGCTGCCACCTAATAAAATCAAAATATTTGCTGAACATAAGCAAACAGACTCCTTCTATGCATGTGGCACTTTTCACAAGTACAGTCACATGACCCTAGTCGTGGTTGCCCCAAACCGTATTCTATTGTAAAGAGCTTTTGGATTAGGTGTTGTATAAACCAGAACCAAATTAATCACATGGATTGAGATGGTGGCAGAATACTTTTTTTAAGACCAATCAAAGGCTGTAGAAACAAAAAAGCAAAGAAAACCAAGGTTGCTTTTAATAGTCAGTTGCAAATAAGGATGTGATGGACTAGAGGTCTCAAAATTTGTACATTTTTTAAGCATGTTCAGAAGTGCTTATCAAAGTAGATAACCAAGCTTACTTCATGTTATATTCCACTAAAAATTTCTTCTCACCCTCAAAAAACTCATCTACATCCTAAAGTAGAAGAAGGAAAAGTTTAAATGATTGAAAAAGTGACAGGACTAAAATGAAGAAGGATTAAATGTTGTAGATCTAGAGAGAACTTCCTAACCAACATATAATCCAGTAAAACAACATCAAAAATGTTATAACATATGGTACACTTCCTCAGACTATATGTGCTTACATTTTTTTCTGTTGTATTGCCATTTCATTCAATAATCAACAATTATTCACTGGAGTGGAGGTGACTAATTGTAAATATTTTCCTCTCCACTTCACAACTCAATAAAATTCTATCACTTTCACCAATAGTAAGGTTTTGTCTCTTCCTCTGCTTGGACATGAATAGTATTTGGTTAACACTATTTACAAATACTAGGTTCAAAACAAAGACCTCTCTTGTAAGTCATATTAAGTTATCACAATTTAGTCAAACGATTTCCTGTGATCAGTTTTATCCACCTTTTGTGATGACAAAAGTACTTCATCAACGCCTTTGGCCAGACCTTTGAAGAGTCCTCCAAGTTTTTCCTTTTTGTTTTTGCCTCTTACATTTAGCTGAGATGAAGATAAGGAAAAAAAAAACAGTTATTACAACTTACAGAAAAATTACGGGGTCTTAATCTGTTCAATCCCCAGATTTGAGATTACATTCTCCTAACTAATGACTGTGTATTTCTTTGTAAGCTACCCTCGAGAATCTTAAGTTAGATAGAGACCAGACAAACTGTTGTATTCCCATCAACTGTCTGCTTATCAGTGTCCTAAAATTGAGAGGAGAATCTGTTCATTGATCACTGATGGGGGTAAAATTGTTGACAGAGTTTTTGTAACAGATCTCAGATTAATCTTTAAGAACAGAAATGTTAGGTATCTAACTTTTCACTGTAACTAGATCTCCTATTTAAGTCATACCTCTCCTTTAAATTCCAGAAACACATTAAAGTTGCTGTCTTTTCTCAGAGTAGGATGAGCAGCTAAGCGAGTCAGGAATACTTCGTGCATGGCTACAGTTTTCTTGAAAGTGGCAAGATACTCTCTAAAATGCCAACAAGACATAACTATTAAAGAAATAACTTTTAAAAGGTAATTTTTGTTACACATTATTCATTTTTTTGGTTCGATTTCTCACAGCTAGCCTGTGAAGTTTGATGAAGGCGTGGCCAACATTTTTCACCTTAACCATAAAGAAGTGTCATTAAATTCAATGATCTTCAATTTTTTTTATCCAAACCCCTTTTCAGCTTTTCCAAATATATCTTAAGATTTTATACAGTTTTAACAAGTATTCTGAATCTAGAGTTACATGTGGGACCCTATTTAAAAGGTATAAACTTGATGGGAGAAAATTGTGTTTATCCAGGGTTTCAACATAAGGCAGGAGCTGCATACCAGATCCAGCATTCAGGCAAGTTAATAATTGACCAACTTTTTAAAATTTGAAATGAAGTAAACCTCAAGTTACCTTTTTAGCCCACATATTATCTTGCAGTACCCTCCCATTTTAAACCTAAACCCAGCTTTATCTCTGCACTGTACCTGTTCTTATACCAACACTATTGCACTTAAACTTACGCTTCAAGTTCTTGTTTCATTTTTTGAAACTCCTCCTTTGTCATAGTATTTTCACCTTAAATGAATAACACAATTTATTCAAGAACATTTTACCAGCAAATGCAGCTAAACCAGTTCAAGTACATTTCTCTACACACTGCCCTAAAAAATTATACACCAATGTAATAACAAAAAAAAAAACAGATAAGGAAAAAAGTAATCAATAGCTTGCATTTACCTTCTCCAAGTTTCTGCAGCTTTTCACGAGAAACATCAAAATCTGGTTTAGGAGGAGCTGGGGGAATCTAAGAGGAAAAAATTGTAGCTGAAACAATAGTGTAAGTGAATGAAATCTTGTTACCTTTGGACAGCAGGTCATGTTTTCAATGACTGAGCCCTTGGTTAGTTTTTCCCATTTTTTGTTTTTTTTTTTGATGAAAATTAGGAGTTCCTACATTTTACCTTATGGCTGTAATGACAGAAACACCGGCAAAAATAAATGTCTTCTCATCAATAAATGAATTTCTGCATCTTGTTGCTAACTGGCACTACTTTGCTTACATTTTCACCTGATCTTTATTACTGCCGAATAACTTTTAAGGCTCTATGTTGAATTTTTAAGACATAAATATATACAAAGACTAACAGAAAAAAAAAATGTTTGGAAAAAAGGGGAAAAACTTAATAAATTAACACTCCTGCTCCTGTCACATTCTGAAAATGCAAACATCAAATAAATTTGTAACCACAGCATTCCAAACCAACTAACTCCTCTTTACCTTTTCATTTAACCTAATAATGTGTAAATTAGCTCATAAGCACCTTCAATATTGTTGGCAAAGGTTGGCCAGGGAAAGAGGGGAGGGGTGGGTCCAATGAGCATGAAGTAATGTAACGTGAATGAAAGAAAATTTGCGATCCTGAATCAAACTTGATGTTTATAATCAAAATGAAAATAAAACAAGAAAGCGCAGAGCACGATGAGACTTTCATTCTTGACAAAGCATTGATAATATTAATCTCTATTCGATGTTAGCTGCTATTAAGACTATTCTAGTACGTAGAAGCTTAATTACATACAATGATTCCCGCATATTCCTCATTTTCGACGTATCGGTCATGCAACCAAACAAACTCTTCGTGTTCCCTGACCACGGAAAAGTCACTCTCCTTGAAAACAGGCAGCGTGGTCTGGAAAACAATAAAATTAAATGCCGTTAAACAGCGAACAAAGGCGATCAATTTGTCACCAAACGAAAACTCAGTTTTGTTACCTTCGTATGAACTGTAAACTTAACACGCTCTCTTTCACTTAGTGCGTCTGAAATATCCACCACCAGGGATGTGTCTGTGTTCAAATCCACCGACTGAGTCCGCGTCTGTAAAGAAATTGAAACAGTAACTCTAAAAGATCAAGACAGAAGCAGCTTCCTATTTTCGATTCCCAAAAGTGCCACATTGAGGTACGAGATTAAAGATCACTCCACAACTCACTTTTTCATCTTCCAGCATGTCTGCGCTATCCGACGCATCCTGTAGAGAATGTTGAACAAATATCAAAGTAATTTATTATGCACTGGTGAAGAGTTCCGCAATTAAACAGCTGTTTTTCACAATTTCTTACCATCATGGTTGGTGCTGATCTGAGCCAAGTGTCCTCTTTTCGTCACGTGACTGGCGGAACCATGACAAAAATATCCCCCTCTGCACCCCACTAAGGTCGAAGCAATACAAAAAAACAAAAACAAAAAAATAAAGACAACAACAAAAAAAAACCTTGTTTGTGACTTAACCGCTAGAGAAAAATTTCGATTTTAAGAATAAACGAAAGAAATAATTTATCTCTTTCTAAAGCCCTAATCAAGGAATTTATGCTACTCCAGTACAAACTGTATCAAATAACTTTTGAAAGGCAAAGATAGAAAAACAGAGTGAAACATTTGTTCTTTTAGAGGATACAAAATCCTTATTTTTTCTTTTAGGTTATAAGAATCCATAGTCGTATAACTTTTCTTCAGACTTTGACCATTAAGATCACAAATATCCCCTAGCTACCCTAGTGAGTACCTTCAAACAATCGATAGTATCCCATAAGATACTGCGAGCATTTCTTGGTAACAAGAGAGTCAAACATGGCGGACGGCACTGCGGCAGAAGGTTCTCCGACAAATTAAATTATCTTTTCCTTTTTAACAGCCCACTAATGTACTGAACTGTTTGATTTTAAATTTTTAGTAGCTCCTCAAGAACAAGTTCCGTTGGTTCTTCCAGAAGAGAACAATCACGGACAACCTGAGGTGAGATAGCGCCAAATAATTTGATGACATGCACAGACATAATTTTGACGTTATCACTCATTAGATTTTTATCTTTTTCTGTTGAAAAGCAAATATATGCAATTATTTTCACGACCTCCACCGCCCCTTCCACAAAAGATGGTTTCATCTACATTTCATTCATGATATTTTGATGCGACAAGCATGAAAAACGCTCACAATGTTATTGTATTAATTATAGTTTCCTTGATTCTGTTCACTTTGTGAACGCAAACAAAATAAGAAACTTTGATCGATTGTGTTGGAAAGGTTATCACAATAAAATCTAATTTTGATCAAAGACTCACGAAAACGCCTTTGCACCCCCCCCCCCTTTGTTGTTGGCTATCACTGAATGCAACCTATGCAACCTACTATGTTTTGACGCTTTTACCCCTGAAAGCGACTAGCATCTAAGTTCTCCTTACAATGTCATGTCTGAATCACATATAAATGTCTTGAGAATAAAGGAAATGATCACTTTCTAAAGCAGCTCTTGATTATTGGTCAAGTTCTCCTTGTCAGCACCAAAGGAATTGCACAAAGAAGAGTATAAAGAATATAGATATTGTGGTTCAATTTTATCCTTGGTTCAAATTTTATCTTCTTTTGTTATTGGGTATTATAACATAGCTAGTAAATTTGTCTAATCAAATTCAATCGCATGAGCGTGCTTCATATTCCTATTGTGCACCCTCATGACATCAGCAAACAAATCCGTAGAGAAAAAAAAATTGAAAATGTTATAAAACAATTGGTTCATACATTAGCTGTCTGTTCATTGAGATATGAAGCACTTGGGAAGTTTGGAGAGCACTCAAGAAGCTAGAGTTGCTCTCAGCTATGCCTCGAGCAACCCTTACTTATCTTTTGTGCTCTCCAAACTTCCCGCGTGCTTCATATCTCGATGAATGCACGCTGACGTATGAACCAATTGTTAATTGTAATGTGTGATAATGAGTTTGAAACAAAGGAAAAGAAAATTTGAACCAAGGATAAAATTGAACCACAACGTAGATACTGATGTTAGGGTGTAAAGAGTTGATGGCAACATCATCTATGCGCCTGTCTTCCTATAGATCATAAATAAGAACCCATCAATATAAGTTTATAACATAGCTTAACAAAAGCACATGCTCTGATTGGCTAATAAGCTCAATTCATTTGCCTGTGGGTTGCATACTGATGTCACTTTGTTTGCTTTTTTCCCATACAAAATGAAAGATCTTTGGAAGATCCAATGATATTAAAGCAATGGTTAGCCTTCAGTGTGCAACCATTAAGTTATTGATGCACTTGGGGGTGTGCTATGCACTCATGAAGCTAGAGTCACACTTGGCTAGCACTTCATGTGACTCTAATGCTTCTTTTGTACTTAGCAACATCCCATGTGTGTCCATGACTTGATGGTTCCATGCTATAAGCAAGCCACTTCTTATGAAATTAATGTGAAGTTCTTTGGTCCTATTAGGTTCCCCAGGAAACTTCTCCCCATGCTGAAATTGGTCTAACAGAAAATGTTCAGGTAAACTGAAATTGGTTCATCTACATTAGTTAGTGGCACAAAACAGAGAAAATTAGTGGTACAGCTTCTGCTTGGAACTAAGTCTTCTGTAACTTTCCCCTATTTTCTTGCATTATCTGTTGAAGACACCTTGTTGCTGTTACTAGTGAGCAAGGAAGACCTCTGGTCTTTTGGCCCTGGCCAGTAATTCTGTTTTGTTTTTGGGAATGGTGGCCACTTTGCCCTCACAGTGCTCTTCCCTGCCTACTTTACCTAATTTACCCTTCATGGCCCTTTTATCACCCACCTACTCCCTCCATGTCTTTCCTCCCACATCTGATTTTGGAAGAGGACATTGTCTTTAGCAGCTGTATGTGTCAATTGGTGAATTGTTTTTATTTTGTTCACAGAAAATGGTGGAGAAAGAGAAGGAGGCTGCTGAAAAACCAACAAAACCAAAAGTAGAGCTACAGTCATTACCAACCAGAGCCTATTTAGACCAGACAGTTGTGCCCATCCTTCTTCAAGGTCTCTCTACCCTGTCCAAGGAAAGGTAAGGATATTCTTTCATCAGAATGCTTTGTGTTCTGTAATGTAATATGCTCTTCCTTTACCAGGTTCTGATTTTTCAAACCTCTTTGAAGAGCCTTGCTTGATAGAAAAAGAATTAAAATTCGAGATTTTACATTCCAACAATGGTTTTCTTTACCGTTTTTATAATTTCATGAACAAAGGATAAAATTAATGGTACACCCTTTCCTTAAACATGCCTCTTGGAGAAGGGAACACAAATCATTGAAAGAGTATGCATTGATAAGTGGTTAACCCTGTAACTCAGGGGTGATTAACATGTAACCTCTCCCAGCAATATCCATACATCCTTCTGCAAACAGGTAGTGAGAAGTTGTTCTCTTGATCTAACACCAAATCCTTGTAATTAATTTACTGGGAAATGTGTAGCAGCTAGGGAGGAGAATTAATAATCAGATCTTGGGAGTGAAAAGGAAAAGCAGAACCTGTGCCTTCTTTTGCTTTGCATACTAATTAACCTTGGTAGAATGTGGGGAGGGAACCTAAAGAGTTTTTAAATAGACAGCAATGTTGTGACCAGTAATAGAGCTTGTTGTATCTCAGAGGTATTTATTGATATAAATTTTTCCATGGAGGAGGAATAATTGATTGATGTGATTGCATTTTATTTTTGTTTGTGTTTCAGGCCACCTAATCCTATTGAATACCTGGCTACATACTTGCTGAAAAACAAAGATCAGTACGAAGAAAGCTAGTGACCATCCCTTATATTCATACCATTCTAAATTTATCACCTCATAGGCAGTAAGTCACCACTGAATGCCATTATTAACCTAACCGTGTAGATGTGTTTGTAGATAAAGTGAGAAAAGACACGATAGATAAAGGAAGAGAAGGGGATTTTTACAGTCATATGCGATTGTGGAAGAAGATGCATTTGGCAGGTTTTTACTTGAAACAATGCTATTTTTTTCAGTATGTTTATCATTTATATCACATCATAATATATTTATCTGACTAGTTCTGAGAGAGTGAACTGTGTGATGACATTAGCCCCTTCTCAAGTTTTGACTATACTCAGTGTTTCAACCATTTGACATTTTTGTGATGCACCTCATGTTTGTATCATACCTTTGACGCTAAAATGAAAAGAACATTGTAAAGTGGTTGTTGTTGTTGTTATTTTTGGGATGGGAGGGGAAGGATTTGTAAGCCTATGCAGCCGCAGTCTCACTGCACAATATGACCACACACATTGTCTTGTGGCTAATCCTTCTGTGACATTCTGTAGAATGACTGTTGAGGAGACTTATGCAGCTGTTGGGTGGGTGAAGGGAAGTTAGTGGCTGTAAGCTAGGACTGGAGAACAAGGAATAAAGCTTATTTGCTTTTTCCTACTCCTCTTGTGGCATTGCTGTTTACTTGACCACCCTACTGCTACTCAAATTTTCCCAAACTGAGAGTGGCTGTTGTGTTTTCATCTAGTGGCTTAGTCAAGTGACACTCAGCTCTTCCATTGCCCTCTGTATTTTGCCTTCATTCAATAATGAACTCTCTATTAGCATAGTACAATCGTCTAACAGTGATTTTACATAATTCAGTAAAAGGTAATACAGTAGTTTAACTTGAGTTGATACAAGTACTTGTTGCTATAGCAATCAACACACCACAGTGGCTGCACTATGACAGGAATGTCATCTACATCAAAGAAATGTCTCCATCTCACCTTTTCTGGCAACAATTTATTTAAAAATGCCCTATTCTAGACGCGAGAAATCTGAGTAACTAATTTCCCCACCCCTCCCCGTTTCACTATTGATATTTCCCATACCTGTACTGTCCGCCCCTTGTCGCTACCCTCATTATCGGTCCCAGTCTTTTCCGAGTGAGGAGACAATATGGCGAACAAGTGCGTTTAGTGTGTTTGTTTCACATTAGCAGTCTGATGTTAAGATTAATTACATTTGACGCTTGTAATACGCTATTTCATGTTCGAGGCTCGCCTGGAGAACTGTACAGCAATGTGGCCTCTCGTTTTGGTGTCGAGATAAATCCTAAACCTTTGAACGATTCCTTCAAATACTCCTTTCGAGAATTCTACAAAACCCTGCCAAACTTTGGTGCGAACAAAAATAAAACTGCCGAAAAATGGTGGTATGGAGTGGTAACACAAACATTTCGTTCAGCTGGATACCACGATGAAGCAAATTTAGCCAGGATTTCCTCTGTTTTGTATCGTGAATTTTCAACATCGAAATACTGGCAAGTTTACGCTGAAACTCATTCTGTGTTGGAGCATTTAAAAAATCAGAACTACCATCTTGCCGTTGTATCTAACTTTGACGAACGACTTGGTGAAATTCTCGAGCGTCTGAGCTTAAACGACTATTTCGACTTCATAGCGTGCTCGTTTAGTGCTGGAGTTTACAAACCATCTCCTAAAATTTTCGAGCTTGCTCTGAATCATTTTGGCGTTAAAGCTGAAGAAGCCCTACATGTTGGAGATAACGTGGACTTAGATTACAAGCCAGCAATGCAGTTGGGAATGAAATCTTTTATTGTAGACAGGTTTTGTATGGACTTCAGCGAAAAAATAGTCAGTCCTGAGCATATTATCAGAGATCTAACTCCTTTGCTAAAACTTTGAATTAAAATCGCCATGATCATTGTATTTTATAGATTGACAACTTGTTTGGTGGGTATAGATTAAAAAGTTAAGAAATAACTAACTATTATGGATTCATCTCCTTGCTATGAAGGTGTTAAATGGGAATAACATTAACAATTTAGATTAAGCATAAAGAATTGGTGCAGATCATAGATTATTATAACTTACTCTCTAAGCAGCTGTCCTAAGCAAAGGGGTCTTGGTTTTCTGATGGGGAAAGTGGTGCAACAATCAGATAGGATGCTATTTCTGGCCAAAAAGTTGGGTGCAGGTCCATCTTAAAGAATTGACATCCCAGTGGCTTTCCCACATGTTTTAAAGTTGCCTGCATTCAGAGCCACCGTAGAGTTAGTAGTCTTCCCATTCTTAAAAAATTTCCCTTTGCAATCATCAACAACTCTGTAAACAAAACTTTAAGTTTACACCCAACTGTCAATAATAGAGCATGGCTCTTTTTGCTTAAAACTCTTAACGGTGGCCAATTTACGTTATCAACTCAGTTGATAATACCAAATTACATTGCCGCATGTGTTTGTAACACTGGGAATGTCACATTATTGTTCACTGGTGTTATCTAAAAGCCACATGGAACAGTGATCAGCATGTTCCTCAATATTTTTTTGTTGGATAGAATGAACGGCATCAGTATAGGGCAACTTATCAGCCTTCCATCGTTTTCATCCACTTCTACATTTTGCAAATCTGATAATGTCAAGTTTACTACTATCATTTTCATTTCCATCACTGCAAGTGATCATCCGAGTGATGGGAGTTTGTCTACAAAAACGGGCATCTCTAATTCTTCTTCATCTCAGCACAGCATACATAGGATTGTCAAACGGTCATCTACGGAACACAAATAAAACTTTATCCTTCCCTAAGACTTGTCAAGTTCTTCTTTATATCGCTGTAAGATAAACTTCTCATCACTTCCTAGTCCCTAGTTCCCCTAATGGTGGAAGAGAGAGAGAGAGCCTGGGAATGAAGTAAAATATCGAGACTTCTGGACCAATCACAACGTTCACTTCTTCTCAGGCTCTCTTTGAATTTCGGTACTCTCAGTCTCGGTTTGAACTTCAAAATGTCTGAGAGATCTCCTTTCAATGTAAGCTTTTCCCCCACTAATTGTTCAAAGTATCGAGGAAAAAAGAGTGAAGAATGGAGCCCACGAAGTCAAGAAAGCGAGCCAGACCCGTGCTTCGATTCCGATGAAGAGAACTACGAATCAAATATGACCTCTATTAGTTCCGACTGCAGCTCTGGGTTAAGTTCATTCGATTCGCCTCTTCCGTGGGCTGAAAATTCTTCATTCTCAAACCCTTCAACCTCGAAAAGTCTTGTTTTACAATCTCGAGGAAACAAAGGTCACCACGAGGGAAAGGAACGGACAGAATGGGCGGGCGAATATGTTCACCGATCGAATTCACTTGTGATCGGAAAGCGTTCACGCGCCATTGGTCTAAAAGATATGGATTTGACAGGAAATATTGCCGCAAAATATATTCGAGAAGCGAAGGAAGCAAACAAAAGTCCTTCGAAGAAACGCTTATTTAGCCCTCTCTCCAAACAAATGTCTTGCCCGACGTTTAGTACACCCTTTGATGGACTGTTTCATAGACATGAGGTGACTGGTAGAGCCAGTCAAACCGGTAAGGCTAGTCACACCAGTTTGGGCCGGGTCTTGAATTTGGAATTGGACTCGCAAACAAAATCGCCTTTAGTTGACAGCTCAGCAGAGGAGATGTCACTTAATTTAAGGACTCATTCTGTGAAACTATTTAGTTGTGCTGATGAGAAAGGCATCCCAAAGGAGGAATTTGACCATGATTGGTGGGAAAGATGTAAAAGAACAAATACTCCAGTTGCTACCCAAAGTAGCAATGAACTCTTTCCAACATTTGCACCAAAAGTGATGGAATTCATTGATCTAACAGTCAATGATGAGCTGTCTGATGGTGAAGCAAGTAATACAAACAGGAATTCAGAACATGATGGCATTGCTGAGAAAGCTGGAGATGTATGTGTGCAAAATACAAGTCATCATAGCTATCCACCTGTCTCTGAAAAAGTGTCCATGAAGAAGCAAGTATTCTCCTTTAGTGATGATGAAGATAGTGATTCTGGCACAAAATGCCAGTTAAAAAGTGACAAGGAATCTTCAGAAGAGTCACTTTTATCTGATCCAGCTCCTCAGAGAAAGAGCCATTCCTTGCAGGGATTTGTAAAGATGAGTATGGTTTTCTTTTTATGTGCACTGTTACTCTCAGTATATCTGCACGCTAACCCTCATGGTTTTTGTCTGGATAGTGAGTTCACCAACAACATTTCTGGAATTGGGTCAGCACTTAAGTCTGAATTGTTTGGTCAACATATTGCTCAGAAAATTGTCACTGCAGCACTCAAGAATCACTTCAACTCCAAAAACATTAGGAAGCCACTTGTATTAGCATTTCATGGGTGGACTGGAATTGGGAAGAACTTTGTTAGCAATATCATCACAGAACATTTTTTCAAGCGCAAAACCAATAGCCCATTTGTGCACAAGTTCATCATTCCACTTCACTTTCCCCATGAATCAGAAGTAGAAATGTACAATCAACAGTTGTTCAAGTGGATCAGAGGAAATGTCTCACATTGTCGGAAGGGAGGTTTGTTTATATTTGATGAAATGGACAAAATTCACATTGGCATGATGGATACAATCAAAGCTGTTCTTTTAGATTACCAAGGCAAGAAAGTAGAAAGTGGTCATCAGAATGTGATCTTCATTTTTCTGTCTAATTCGGGTGGTGAGGCTATTAATCAGCATGTATTAAGGCATATCCTTGATGGAAAACTGAGAGAATCTCTCACGCTAAGTGAACTGGAAGTCATTTTTCATGACATTGCAAAGAGGATACCAAATATCTGGTTTGCAGACCTGCTGAAATCGGAAGTTATTGATTACCTTGTTCCATTCCTGCCTTTGGAGAGAACACATGTAAAGCAATGTATCAGACGAGAACTTGTCAAGAAAGGGTATGATGCAAAAGAGCCCTTTATTACAGAAATTGCTAACCAGATGGATTATTTCCCAGAAAGCCACCAGTTTTTTTCTGTATCTGGGTGCAAAAAAGTTTCATCCAGAGTTGACGTGATTATGGAATAAAAATTGTTTGGTTGCAGTAAGGGTCTTTTAGGCGACTCTACAGACTAATGCAGGGAATGTTTTTCACAATCAGAGAAGATAAAAATGACAGTAGTATTGTTAAAGTAGCACTGATGTGTTAAAAATGTGTTGTAATTGTACCCAGTTGATCCAGTTTTATTTTTGGCGAAGATGCATTGTACTGATTTACACACCCTAAACAGAACATTTTCTGCAAACTTTTTGGATTTTTTGGATCATTTGAGTTGCATTAAGATGTCAATCAACATGTATTGAAGCACTTGAGTTTCTCTAGATCTAGAGAGAAAATGATGTCAATAATGTTTTATGTGTGAACTCTTCTTGAGATCTGTTTGCTTGACAAAGTACTGATAATGTAAGAGGAAGTCTCTAATGGGAGTCTTAGGTTTTTAAAATATATTGCAGACACTAGGGTTGACCACTCTGCCAAAGGAATTGCTTTAACAAAGTTTTGCAAAGTTTGAAATTTTCTCGACATTGTGTATTTTGTGGAGTTTATCATTTTAAAGGCAGAGCTGGGTTGTTCAAAGTTGGATTAAAGTAACCCAGGGTTAGTGTGTAATCTGATTTCAGATCTTAAAGAAAATTTACTATAATTCTTTCTGTTTACAATCTGATAACTGGATGCTTTAAAAAGAAAAGAGAAATGATCGCAATGAAAGGCTTTTGAACAAAGGAATAAGAGACTGAATTAAAATTTAACCTCGTGTTAGTGCTGTTTGGCCTTTGAACAATGGGGCCCAGATTTAAAATTCAACCCTGGGTTAGCACTAATTAACCTTCAAACAACTGGGCCCTGAACATTTGATGTAAGTCATTTCCTCCTCAAACTACTTGTCTGATCATCAGTTTTTTTGTAATGTACCAGCCTAAGAGTAGTTTATGAAAGTTGTAAAAAAAACTATAGAAAAAAAAATTACACTTCTACTTCTTCATTTGAGGAAAATTGAGTGCCATGTGTTGTCATGTTGGTCTGTTATTTGTCCAATAAAGTTCACAATTCCAATCTCAAGGTTTTCTTGCACTTTAAATGGCTTGGTCTTTCTGTAAAGTGGCAACCTATGACAAGAATTTCCAACCATTGTCTTGGAGAATTATTCAGAAATATGACTTTTTTAAAATTGAACAAAAAGGAAGTTAAAATGACACCAGACAAACTTACCTGCATTTGAGACAACTGGAGGGTTACCATGATAGGACCTTGCCAAGATATGGCTTTGATAAGAAATGAAAGCTAGATAAATTCTCCTAGGTAATTACCCAATTTTTGTGAAGCTTTATTGACTGGTCCTGAGAATACAAGAGTTAAATTGCTTTCCATTGTCCTCTTGATGACAGTTTTCTTTACCCTTTTGACTTAATCACTTATGCTTGTTTGAAAACTGAATTGAGAATTTACCTGCCCATCATTTCTGAAGGTTGAAAGGGTTGATATAAATAGTTTTTATTTCACACATCAAGCTAATCAGAGGACCTCTTAATGCCTGCTTTAAGTGATATGAGTCCACTACATTTTTGATGGAGATGTGTCTCCTGTGCCAGTTGTGTCTAAAATGAACTGAAACTTGGCTAAGTTTGTGTACCTAGGCTGAGCTCTAGCAAAGCCTTTTTAACGAGTGGGTGACAGATTTGAGATGGGAGGAGCCTTTTGGTATTTGGTGATTCTGGCTTGTGCAGAACTAAAGAATTAGTCGGCTGGTAGGGACTAAAGGTGGGGCAAAGGAAGATAATTTGAAAGGTTGATTTTCCATTGCTAGTTGACAGACTACTAATGCGAGCAAATTATCATACGAATCTATTGAAATCCAAACCAAGAAATTATAACTGCATCAAGTAATGAACAAGAGCTTGCAGCATATTGCTGATGGGAAGCTGATAGCTGCATGACATTATTGTACATGTCGACCATCAACTGTAGAGGTCAAGTGAAGCTTGATATCTTCATCCCCTTCAGTGGACATAATTCTTAACTCTCCCACGTGTGAAGAGGCAGTACATCAATTTAGCATTTTTTATTTTTACTTGACAATCATCACAGCTGAATTCAGTTAATGTAAAATGCTTAATTAGCAAAAAAATTCAGATAACTTCAAGGACTTTGTTCACATGTTGAACTACCATGACTTGGGTTAATATGTAGCCTATCATGCCATGATTACCATATAAATTCTCCCTAAAAAATTTCCATACATTATCCAGCAAACTGGTAATAAGAATACTCGCACTTATCAGGTAGAAGATGTTATCTAGATTTAACACCAAATTCTCATAATTAAGTAACTGGGAAAAGTGTTGCAGCTAAAGGGAGAATTAAGAATCAGATCTTTGGAGTTAAAGGGTTAATGGATAAGACTTTATTTTCAAGTGTCAATAATATCTGCCATTTGTTTGCTTATCCCACTAGTGAGCAACATCATCAAAACTTAAATATAAAATTTGTATTCCACCCATGTCCGAGTAATATTCTCTACATATAAACACTCAGTCAAATGTGACATTGACAAATACATCAGTATTTTTATTCACATGCCAACCGTCAGAGTAGTACAAGTGGTAAGGACGTGAAGGTAGCAATTACCACACCGAACACTGCTAAGTTTAGCAGAACAATCAACTGGTTATATAATATATTACATTTAATTATTTGTAACAATTAGCTGATACAGTACAACTAGGTCTAACACACCCATGTAAGTCAGTTATTGACCAGATTATTTAAATATTCAATCTGTTGCATCACCATTGACCATACTAAATTTTGAAATTCAATATCACTGAGAAAGACAAAAGCAAATGAACACATATCAAATAAAAGCTCAGTTCTCTTGAGTTTTGCTATTTAAAATAATGCCTTATTAAAAAGTGTGAAATAAGGCCCAGGTGGCACTAGAGCTTTCTTTGTTTGCTAAGTGAAAAGGGTGACCCCATGTTTGAATCTCTTTCTAGAAAGAGATGACTTTGTGATGGACATATGAATCAATCAGTAAAGTTTTTGTCAAAGGATATTAGTTCGACACGATTGCTGCCAAACTTTGGAAAGAGTGAAAATTGTGCCAATTTTTGGTTTGTGAAAAATTGGAAAATATTTGAATTCACTCAAGTGCAACCTGGCCCTAAGACAAAATTTGTGTACTGGCTTCTTCAAAAGTTGTCCTAAATTAAATTATGGCGATGGCTAACAGATTCAAATTTAAATAAAGGGGAGATATCTGACCGGTTTTAATACTCATACCCTTCATGGAACTGCTACCAATACATTAAAAAGCTTTCCTATCATTCATGTATCACTATTTATCGTGAAATCTGCAGTACATTTTTAAACTGTTCCTGCCAAATGGTCATCTATGAAAATAACCAGGGACAGCAAAGATGATTTTGACACTTATAAATATGGTTCTTTTCATAATGATACTTGGTATGCACACCAATACTTTCAAGGCGATTTCAGATAATAGATTCCTTCCTGTGTCTTACATGACACAGGAATATAGGACATGAAAGCCCTTGTCACAAAATGCTTAGATTCTCAAAAAAGTCCAAAAAACATCCCTCCAACATCTGCTGAAGACTCTGCTAAAAATGTATTATTTCAAATTAAAATGAACTTTTAAGTAGCAGCTCCAATGAAGGCCAATTCAACAATTCAACACATTTTAACACCCCACAAATTACAAATTAGATTAATTGTGGGTGCTACTATTAAACCACACCTTCACCTTAGTTCTAAACATTTAATTTTAAGCCTACTACCAAAACAAAAATGAATTGCTACCTCACATTGTGGAGAGGCAATAACAGTTGCATCTCCTTGGGAAAATGATTACAACTTAATCAATTTTCCCTCACAAACAGAACTTAAAAATTACAGTTCTTACAAATGCACTCTGAGTAACAAAGAGTAATTCACTTAAATATTACTTTTAAGGCTAACTTAGGTTCATCTGGGCAGAAAGAATCTAAGACATTAATATACATTAACTGCAAAGTCCAAGCAACACTTTTCCAATCAAACTGGGGAGGGTTTACCTCTTGGATGGCAAATGCCAAATCTACAAGCAGCCTTTTATCTTTTACAGAAATTCTTTCTTTTGCAGGTGTTCAATTTGAAAACAGGGGTGCCAAAGAACACAAGAAACAAGCTAACACGTTTTTTTGTTTGTTTTACTTGCTCTTCTGACATCCTGCCCCCCACAACCCCCTTCCCAAATATACCTCATGCTTTGTGTTACATTCCACTCAATTTCTGTAAGGGATACACTTGTCAGTTGTTAGCATTCTGAAATAATCCCATCTGAGAAACACTGCTTGTAATGATGTAATGAGGCAAGAAAACTTCCTAATTTGCCACAACAAAAAGAAATGAAAAGACAGCAAAAGAACTCAAATCATCAGTGGCCAAAATTATCAATAACAACCATGCTCTTATGGACATTAACCTCCAATTTTGTTACTACTCTGTTTTCATTGCGCACAAAATTAACTCTTGCAATAACGCCACACAATTACTGTAAATCCAAGCACACTTTTAATCAAGAGGTCTTTGAAATCGTAAAAAAAATTGAGATGGTCACCGGCTCAACATAACAAAGCTCATCACATTTTACACCAAACTTTCTAACAAATCAGATTACTATTGGACTAAATTTTTCAATTGCAATAACAGCCTAACAATCTCATCAATTTGTATCACACCTTTGTAAATATGCACTCAACATAAAATAAAGTTCTTCTTTCAAACATATATTATAAAATTACTGTATGTACGCCTTGATGCTGAAGTGTGGGTGAAAAATGCATAGTAAATATACCAAATATATTGAATCATAAATTAGACGATTACCCTATACATGGCACCAACCATTTTAATTGGTGTGCAATTATGAGTAATCACACAATGTAAATATATCCTACAACATGAATGAATTATGAATGGGCATTAATCTTTTTAAGGCAAAAAATATTTTACAAGTAAGAGAATATGTAACAATTGAAAACAACCTAGTATTTAAAAATTTCAATTCAAATGTATATGAAGAAAAAGAACTGGACTGTCTTTAACCCTTTAATTGCCATGAGTGACCAAAATAGAATTTCTCCTAACAGTATCAACACGATATCAAGCAGACAAGTGGTGAGAATAAATAAAAACATAAATTTGGGGATTATCAGTTAATCCAATACCAAATTCTCCAAGTTAACATCATGCAAACTCTATGACAGACAATAAGGAGACTTATTCATGACATCTTGGGAGTGAAAAGGTTAAACTTTCCAACAATTACCAAGGGAAGGGCCCACAAATACGCTTGATCTCTTTTTTTCTGGAATAACTTAAGCTTACAAATCAAGGGTGTTAACCCTTTAAACCTTACGAAGGACCAGCATGTAATTTCTCCTCACAGTAATACTGCTAAGTCATTCACTAACCCTTAGATGCCCAGATCAAACTTGTAGTTCTCCTTACTGTCAACCATAGAATTCTTTTAATGTTAGTTCAGATAATTAAGTAATAGATCAACTAGTTATCCCCAAATTGATATTTTTCCTTCTTCTTGTCACTTATCTGGTCGATATTGTATTGGTATTGAAAGGAGAAATTTTGTCTTGGTCACTTATAGGAGGTAACCCTTTAACTCCCAAGATCTCATCAGTAATTATCCTTACTGTCTGTTAGTTTGGAGAATTTGGTATTGGATCAACTAGTAATCCCCTCATTGATATTTTTCTTTATTCTCATCACTTGTCTATTTGATATTGTATTAATGTTGTTAGGAGAATTCTGTCTCATGGGACACGATTCTTGATCACTCATGGGAGTTAACAGGTTAAAGGGTGAAGATAATGAAAATAACAGACATGTCAGTAGCAAAAGACTTGTACAGGGAAGAGTAAAGAAAATATGGATACTGATGTTAGGGTGTAGAGGGTTAAAAGTAGTAACTGGTAAGTATGGTATTTGGTGTGAGAGCTTCATGGATAAAATGCAGTTAAAATGCTGTATCAAGCTTTTTGATGACTTGAATGTCCATATACATGAATCAGCTGGTGAATCTGTTCCGATGTGAGTTTCATATTTTGTATAGTACCTAACTTAAAAAGAACTGAGGTTATCTGCAGATTTTGATCCACATTGGGATGTTAGAGATTTCCAAGATGGAATTTCCAGAGAAAAGTTCAAACAGCAGTCTAGGAATGGTATAGTGCATCATTCATACCTGCAACTTGTACAAGAATGATCTCAGCAATTTATCTCCTATGTAGTAGCTCTCCATCAGATGATAACATTGACGCAAACTGTTCTAAAATTAAACCAGAAAACTACAAACTATTTTACAACTGAAAAATCAGTGCAGTGGATAAGAAATTTTCATACTTCTGTGATGACTTATCAATGGCAAGTTTCACTTTTATAAAGATAAAGGGTTACTCATGCAAAAGTTATCTACCAACATTGTAAGGAATTGTCTAGATGAACATCTTTCTTATAATTTTTTTCACCAAAAAATCACACAATCAAATCAGGTTGTTTCCTTCAGCTTCATCACTGTGTAATCATGGCATTACTTATCTAAGTCTCTTAAGACAGATCATATCTAAATTACATCATTCATGAGAAGTCTATACTACAGCAAAATACTTTTCCTAAATGTAAAACAAAAAAATCCTTGCCTGTGTACAACATCTAAGATACTATGTACATGATCATTTACTGCTGTTATTTACTTACACGTACACACTAATCAAGATCATAATTACATGTGTCAATACCTTAAAAACTTTGAAAAACTGCATCTCTGGAAAAAAACTTCAGCCTTCTCTCACTGAAATCTGGCTGATGTTTGAACTCTCTGAACACTCCCCATTCTGTCCATATGCCGTGAACAGTACATCAGCAAAACATTTTTGGCTATCAAACTTTGGCGTAGGATCAATGCCAATGATCAGAGGCTCAAAAGTGTCTTTCAGTAGTACATCTACACCGTACACAGCACAGAGTTCTCTTCCACTGCGTCCTTGAAAGGCTGAAAGACTTGGTGCCACAGCATAAAACAGCTTTGCAATGCTCTCGTGAATCACGGACTGGATTGCATCCCAAGTGATCTGCTTCTTTGTCAAGTAATTAGAGCCTAAGTGTTTTAAGAACTCCTCATGAGTCACTTTGAGGTTTAATGTCCCATTCTTCTTTGGCTCAGTGCTACTACATACAAGATCTGAAGATTCAAACTCATCAAAAAAAACATTTGGGTTATGCTCTTTCTCAGCCACCTCAACATGAGGTGTGTTGTGTATCAAGAGTTGCAGAGGTTTCAATGATTTCACTGTGACTGAATACTGGAGACAGAAACGCCTCTTCTTGTAAAAAACTGTCTCAAAGCAATCTGAAATGGAAAAAAAAATAAACAACTATTGACACAATCAAGCCCAGTACTGTTGATAGAATATTGCTCATGAGAAATGATTATATAGATCTGACTGGGAAACTATTTAAGTTTTTAATTTATATAAAGATTAAAAAAAAATAAACAAAGGATAACAAAAATGTTGTGTTAGTGATTACAGCAAACTGGATTCTGCAGCAGTCACTGCAGTTTGTGTTCAAGTTGGGTTGAGTCTCTGTTGTGTTCCCTAAGCAAGAGACTTTCCTCTGGAGAGACCTGATTACACTTTAAGCTGATGACAATTAAAACACTTAGATGTGTAAATCAAGTGAGGCCAGCATCATGATGCCATAGATCCGCAAAAGCTCGGAAAACTAAATTATCGTAGCATACCTGGCCTCACTTGATTTACGCGTCTGACTTTATAACACTATGCTACTCAAGGACAACATCCAACGCTTGATAAATTAAAACGCTGTTGGATGAATTGGGAGACCATAAGAAAGATGACTTTATTCATTTTGCAACAGTCCTGGGACCAAGAAAAAATTGTGAGTTGCTCTGAGAAATTGAAAGTCTGACCTTCCTTCCTTGCTCTACCACTGAGCCACAGAAACAGTGAGAAGCTTGGCCATTGTTAGGTTCATCACAGTGTAAATAAAATAGAATAGATGGCAGATTTTGTGCTTGTACATGAAATAATGACAGATATTTGAAAACATGTGAGTACTTACATGGAGAAGCTACCAACTGTCCCATCTCTGTACACCTGATGACTCTGCGTAGATCACTGGTCACAATGGGTGGTATACTGAGAGTGCTTGGATCTGCTGCTCTTAAAATCCAGTAACTGGCTATGCCATGGGTGTAGTGATCAGCACACAAAGCTGGCAACTGCTGTGACAGGTCATAAGAAACTGGGAACCAAGGTACATTGCCCCAAACCTGTTGAACTTGCTTAGAAAGCAGTTGGCGATGAAGTAGGTGTTCTTCTCCAGCAAGTCGGTTAACTCTTGCCTCAGAGCCAACCTTCTTGCCCAAAGTATTCCATTTCTCAAGCCAAACCGCTTCAGCTTCTGACATAGATTCTACAAGGGTACAGCCTAAATCTCTCAGAACTGGCCTCTTCTCCTTTCCATTTGTCTCCATAAAGAATTTCAGATTCAGTTTTTTGCCCTTCAATTGAAGACAGTTCTGACTTGCTGCAGGTGTTTCTAAAGAGCTTACATTGATCACAATATTGTTTTCTTTGGCTGCTAGTGGAAACTTTGAAAGTTCAACCACAAACGCTGTTGGAACACTCTCAGGCAAGGAAGGACTGAAAGCCAAAAGTCGTCCTTCTCTTTGCAGATTTGTTTCTGTTCCACTCAGGGCAGGACAAAAATTCCTAGTACACATTTCTCCTTTGTCTAAATCCCTAATAGGCCAAAGAAGGGAGTAGAAGACTCCAGTTGCAGAAAAAGCAAAAGGTGAACATTTAACATTAGGTTGAGTATTATGAACAATAGCAGATCCAAATTTATCCATGATGTACCAAACAGGTTTGCGTTTATCACCCTCTGGCGTCACTACCTGATAGGTCTGGTTGTAATACCACATATTGTTTAAGACACTGCTTAGTTCAAAGTCACTTCTTTGATCCTTCTCTCTTGCTTGATCAGAAATCTCTTTTTCTGTTAAATGTTTTTCTCCTTTGATCAAAACCTGAAATTGGGAAGAGAAACCAAACAAGTTCAAGGCAGAAGTTTTGAAAGGAGAAATACTGAGCATACAAGATTTAGCAGATAATTCTGTTGGTTAAATTAGTCTAGTTTCGTGAATCCTTGAGAGCACTTGTTTTGCAACATCATTCTCAAGATTTTTTTTTTTTCAACTGAAACCTTCAAAGCACAGGAGTATTGCCATTGTCTTCTCCACTTTCTCTCTGAGAAGTAATTAATAACTTCAGTGACATGAAACCTTTTAAGTACACGTATATCAACATTATCAATATTTCCTATTCGAGACAAGATTAACCAATATATTCTCCAAACACTGTTAAAACACAGATAAAACCCTAACATAATTCTGTACAAAGAAATACATAGAAGTAAGAGACAGAGAAGACAGCTACCGATCAGATGTCTGGATCTAAATGATTAAAACAAATTTCAAGTTTAAGTTATACCCTATCATTGAATTGTCACTTGCCACAGTTGAATGATTTAGAAAAAAAAAAAGCAAAACTCCTTCTTTATTGCTTTTGGGCTTTTGTCTCTTTAATAAATGGACTTTCACTTCACAATAACATATGCTGTAGGGTGTTTTCAGCAAAACACATTAACCATTCTCATTTCTCAGCCAAATTTATTCCAAAATGGCCACAACAGTGGCTTTTATCACAGTTCCACGCAAATGGAATGTGGAGGGTTGGCAATATATCAAATTCTATGCTGTAACATGATCACTCAACCACTACAGGTAGCAAGATCTTTCATTAGCTTCCCTATGAAGCAGATTTTGTTACTTTCGCCGGAGGCTTCTCAAAGAGACATTTTTAATTAGATTGTCAGCATCTGTACACACCGAAAATTGCCAACTACAGGTGTGGCTCCGATTGTGACGGAAAAAAAATCTCCTGAGTACACACTGAGATATTTATTTAACTGTATTTTAAGATGTTTGTATTGATATGAGTGCACGGGTGGAATTTCTACAAAAGTATTCAAAGAGCAATTATAATTCGGCAACCTAAACTTGTCACTCGGTATCTCTCAAATACAAAAGATTCAAAATGACAGAATACAACTGAAATACGGTCACTTCAAAATCGCCTAACAATTGAAAAGCGAACCAAACTTCCCAGAAAAATGTTCAGAATGATGTAACAAACTTTATTGAAAAATGCAAATATTGGATCGATTATAAAGAATACGTTTACGCACTTGACTCTTGATGGCAAAGCCACTTAGAACGAAAACAGTAAATTTTCTGTTTGCGTTAATATTGGCCGTAATAGGTAAAGTGTACTCCATCAAATTTGTACGACTTTACGGATTTCATTGTAATTAGTTAATAAATACCTTACATCTTTGACACGATCGAAGCGAGTGTCACCCTAAGAATTTTGGAACGACGATTTTGTCACGCTTGCTTCGAGAGAAAATACGCTATTTACTCAAGATCAAATCGAGAAAACTTACTGGCCACAACTCCGATTCTTCGTTCTCTGGTTTTTGAAGCGTCATGACCAAAACTCCAGGTGAATCAAATGTCCAAAAAGACTCATCCGGGCAGACATTGCCATAAAACTCGCCATCGATGATAGGGGCAGATCCTTTCAGGCCAAGAGTCCACCGCTTCGTAGTCAATTTGCTCACAACATCCCGCTTTTTTACCGTTACTGGAATAGACACTAGCACGGTCATAGCGCCCTCTTCTTCCTCCGACCAACTGTACGAAGAGGTCGTGCCATAACCAAAGCCCATCGACTCAGGGTACTCCTCTTTCTCCCTTTTGTACCGGGAATACATCTTTTCAATGTATTCCTCCGAAAGTAATTTTGCTTTCTCCATTCCAACGCCGTGAAGAAAGCCAGTTTTGAATTCCTCGAAGGTCATAATTTTTGACCTGTTAGATTTCGACGATTTTTTAGTTTCATAAGAATCGTCCGTGATTTGACACAAAGCTTCAATTAGATCACCGTCGGTAGCCTCAAGCGCTTCTTTAGCTTTTTCTTCGTTAATTCCACCGATTTGCGACAGAACCAGAGAGCTGTCTAATAGAGCTTCCCCGGCCGCCTCGTCGTCAGGGTTGTTTTCTTTGTGCCCAAGCATTTCCTTCACTCTTGTCAAAAGTTCCGGAGATTTTTCCAAAGATTTCTTCGCAGCCGCACTGCCATCGCTGGACCAAGCATGCTCGATGAGAAACACGTCGCCGAGTTTTTGCAAAGCCCGTCTGGCGTGTAGAGACCAACGACCCAAAGAGACAAATTGTTCGTCTTTGTGCAGCTCAAATGCCTCTGTGGCGTCGCAACTTGGAATAGGCGCTAGCTTTTTGTAAAGTCTTTCCCATAAGTGTTCCGGTAAACCGATTGAGAGTAGTTGTGGTCGATGAAGAGCAAGGAAATCTTCCCAGCCAATGCACGTGGTCTTCGCAGAAATCGACGCCATTTTCGCACCCTCCCAACAATTACTTCGAGGTCGTTTATTTAACAGGACCGATCAATAATAGATTCTCAGTACCTGTAAATGAAGATTTCTATTGATAAGTAGTACGAGAAAACTGATATAGATCAAGTATGTGTTCGCCCCAGTCTCCACTGTGTCGAGATCGAAGACGAGATATTAAATGTGGCGAGTAACCTCCGCTCAGGCGAAGAAAATCATGAATTTTCCCAAGAAAATTATGTTGGATGAAGAAGATCCTTACAATATTGGAGGTTATAGCAGCTCAGACGATGGCGGAAACGAGAGGTACTTCAGTTAATCTCAGCTTTGCAAATACTCCTTCGGACTTCGATGAAATGCTTTTCGGGATACATGTAATAGAGACGGTCTTTACGCGATCGCCTGGTTTCCGTGTGTTTCGGCCAAAAACTTACAAATTTTAACACAGACGTGCGTCAATGCTCAGGAAATATGCCGGTATTGTCACCGTCTGGATTCTGCTCTGTAAAAATGGTTGTATACAGTCGCATTTTGTTTCCAAAAAATGTGCGAATGACGTAAAATGAAACGCCATGCGACCCTTAGTGACGATTTCCTGGTTAAGAAGGAATGACAAGGATTTACATGGCTTATCCATCTGTCGTTTGGTTTAAAATTTATCCGTTTCTTGGTAGCAAACACTCCCTCTTACACAAAATTTTGATGCACCTTCAGCTTCTGTGGTTATTTTTGCGAGTTGCATTTTTTTCATCTTTAAAAGGAAGAGGTTAAACTGGCAGCTTTACAATAGCTGAAATAATGAAAATGGATACAGAACCTTTGTCAATCATTTTTGACAGTTTCTGCTGATGTAAATCGTTAAGCAGGAAAGAAAAGTTTGCACCAAGAGAGAAAATTTACACAGAAGATTTGACTAAAAAATTAAATTAAAAGAAGCTTTCAGCTGCAGTTAGTGCAGCAGTGCATATAATTTGTTTTGAGAGATATTTTATCCACACTCTTAATCTGTATGGAGAATTTATTTCTGAATTGCAGTTGTAATATCTCTGTCAGTGTGTGGTTTAGCATGTGATCTAGAAATTTCCTGAATGCCTGTCACCTGCTCTCAGCCCTCTTTTGTTTCAATGCAAAATTCTTCCTTTTTTTTGTTTGTTTCACACTATTACATTCAATCATCTTTACCCTTAGTCCTGAGAAATATAAGCCAGCAAAGACATTACATTTTCTGACTGTGAAGAACCAGTTATGAATGCCCTCCTTGCATTCGGATCAAGCAGCCTTTTGAGTTGTTATTCTCAAAGGGTCACATTCTGGCTAATTATCTCGTCACCAGTATTTTGCTATTGTGGCAAGCATTTAGTACTCGTACTAAATCTTATCGATTAGGATTATAAGAAAATGTAATGGATGTATGATCTGAGGAGAGTTGGTGGCTGAACTGAATTATGCTTGCAGAGCTTGCCTAGTAAATATGGCATATCACAAAGCAATGGACCTTCAGAGGAGTCTGGGGGCACGTATTTGTTTGCCCAGAAAAAAATATTGAAATTTGAAACTTCTTAGACATATTTCTAGCATTCTGAGACATTTTTTTAGCCAGACATAAATGTTAGAATCAGTTAAAAAATATTTCTTTTCTGTCTTTGATCACAATTCAAAAACAGCTCCTCTGATTTAAAGACAACCCTAATCACTTTTTGAATGAAGTTTTTTTTTTCTTTGCTGTCAGCTCTGATGACGAGTTTGCCACAGAGGAATTATTAAAAGATCAAAAGCAAGAAACAGGAAGCAGCAGCGAGGATGAGTTTGAGAAGGAAATGGATCTTGAGCTGGAAAGTGTGATAAAAAGTTATACAGGAGATCATGGTAAACAGTTTATTTAACCCTTTAACTCCCAAGATCTAATTGTTTACTCTCTCTATCAGCTACAACACACTTCTTTATGAATTATATAGGAGAATCTGGTGTTAGATCAAAATAACAACTTCTGCCTGACAAGTTTGAATGTTCTCATTACCTTTTTGCTGAAAAATGTAGGGATATGGAGAGGTTACACATTTATCTTTTTAATTCCTTTATTGCTTTTGTGGAAAATTCTACTGTCACTTCACATGTATTATGAGTAGTTTTGTAAAACATCAGGGGATAGCTTCATTTTGAAAATAGCAACTGTCCTTTGCCAGAGAGGGCAACACCCCAAGAGGAGAAAAATAATAACAACAAACAAAAAGAAAAAAAATCAAGGGTATATGGTGGCAGAAGATCACATAGTCTGAAAATGGTGTATTTGATTGACTTAAATTTTCAAGGAATGATACAAATCACAATGAAGATGTACTTCCTTTGACTGGAAAACTTTGTTGTTGATTTATTGTTGCAGTCTTGACTTGTGATATCTTTAATATCAACAGTGAATTTTTTTTTAATGTACTACAGTTGTTAAAAAGTAATATTATCTTAAATGATGTTTTCCTTTTCAGAGGATCAAGGTAATCAGAATGCAAACATTACTGCAGGGAAAAGTGTAAATGATGCAACTTCAAGCAGTAACAACACTCAAGATGGTGATGCTGCTGAAGACAACAATACCATGTATGCCGAAGACTACTTCAGTTCAGGTTCAGATGATGAACACCGAGTTGGTGGACAGCCTTCAAAATCCAAGGAAAGGAGGAAAATGTTAACCAATGATGAATTGTTGTACGATCCAGACATGGATGATGAAGATGAACAATGGGTGATTAGACAAAGACAGGACCACAGACAGAGAAGTATGATAACTAAAAACATCTTAATTTTGACGAATTGTTAACATAGCAGTATCCCATGCCAGATATCAAGTCAACTTCATTTTCAATAAAGGAAATAATCATGAACCCAAGAAACTCCTAATTGTGAGATAAATTCTCCTCATAAGTAACATAGGCAATTTGTAGAGAACAGTATGGGGAAATTGCATACTGATGTTAGGGTGTAAGGGGTTATTTTATAATAAACTACTTGACAGCTTGCCGGTACAAATTGTACCTTAAATTCTCTATTTAACCAGCAACCTTTGAGTCCTCCTCCCTCTTATCCATGATATACATTTGATATCAGAGATTAGTGAATTCCTACTATTACAAAGAATTATCCCACTAAATTTTGATGGCCTGTGATCTTGGGAGTTAAAGGGTTAAGGAGTAATTATTTCATTTAGCACCAAATTCTCAGCACTAACTTCATAAGAGATCCATGGCAAACAGTAAAAATAGTCACTAATGAGATCTTGGGAGTGAAAGGGTTACTCACTACTCTTCTCCTGCTACTGCATTACGTAATGCAGACCTTACTACTGTGGTAGAATCACATTGATAGTACTTGCCATGGGTATGTATTGTATATAGACTCCTGGCAAACATTTTATGAGGACTTTTCAAGACTTACACTTCTGTTAAAAGAAGGAACCACTTGGATACCATAATGTATAACCATGAAACATTTCCTTTCAACAACTTGAATTTTAGTACAGCAAAGAATAAACACAGTCAGAAGTACAGAGGAAAACCAAGAGGAAAACCAAGAGGAATCTTCAGCAAGTAAAAAGAAAACTAAAAAGTCCAAACAAAATGTGGAAAAAGTTCCTTCAAGTGATGCTATACTGTCTTGTCCAGCATGTATGACAACACTATGCATTGACTGTCAGAGGTAAGTGGCAGAGTTTTCAGTTGCATGAAAGACAATTTATCCATTCTTAGTGTGCAAGTTGCAAAATTTTTGAAATGGGTTTTGAGTCTGGTAAATTGCACATATTTATTTTCCTGCACTGCAGTAACAATAACTTGTATACTATTATCAGAGAGACTTGTCTTACAAACTGCACTGAACCTCTTAAGTTGATGAAAATTCTGTTTTATTGGAGAATAGAAAAGTAAATAACTGCATCAAAATTTTGAAGTATGGTTCTGAATTTTTTCATTTTGGACAGGTAAATTGCACTCTATTTTCAAAGAGCAACCTTTGCATCATCACTTTGTTGGTTTCATTGTTAAAAAGATGTTTTTTTTCATTTCTGGTGCATGTTAAAAAAAAAACAAACAAACAAATATGAATTGTACTAGCAAAGTAGACATTTTTTTTTAAAAATTTAGTTACTTTGGAGAACTTTTGTAGTATTGTCCCTAAAATTAGGGAATCTTCCAGTTGCTTTTACAAAGAGCAGGTTTAGAGAAAGACTTACGTTTTGGTATCTTTTCTTCCTTGTAGACATGACATGTACAAAAACCAATACAGAGCTATGTTTGTTATGAACTGTAAAGTTGTTAACGATGAAATTCTAAGATATGAGCCATCTCAACAACAAAAGCCGGGGAAGAAGCGAAAGAAGGCTCAGAAGGGAAAACTTGTTCAACTCACTAAAGACAGTGCAACCTCAGCTGACAGTTCCTTGTCAGAATGTTATCACCCTGTGGCTTGTACAGAATGCAACACAGAAATAGCTGTGTATGATGGTGATGAGGTTTATCACTTTTTCAATGTTTTGGCAAGCCATGCTTAATTAAAGATAGATCATAATAAATTATTTGTTTTGTGACCAGGACTTGGTGGTTGTTGTTTACTCCAAGGCAAAATGAAGTTATCTGTGGTTGAGAAAGATGCCTTTTGACTGCAATGTTTGTTGGATAGGAGGGTTGTACAGAATCTTCAGTTATTTTAAACCCTTTTCCCCCTAAGATTTCATTAGTAATTCTCCTCACTTTCTGCATACAATTGTCACAATATCAGTACAGAGAATTTGGTAGCAAATCAACTAATAATCCCCTAATTGATATTTTTCTTCATTCTCACTTTCTTGTCTGCTTGTGGTGATATTTATTGCATTGATATTGCAAGCCAGGAGAAGTTTTCTTGGTCATTCATCAGAGTTTAAGTGGTTAAGTATGGGAAGCAAAGGTTAAGTGTTGAAAACTGGTGAGAAGTCTGCATTTTTTTTAACAAGCTGCATCAAGTGCTATTTCTGGGTGAGATCTAATGAAGGTGGCTATGTAAATTGCCACGACCAAACTGTTGTACGATAGTGATGAGGTTTATCACTTTTCCAATGTTCTTGCAAGCCATGATAATTAATTTTTAATTTTCTTCTTGGGCGTTATTGGTTGTGGTTTACTCAGAGACAAATTTGAGCTAATAAACAAATGAAAGTAAAGTTTTACTCTGGTGAACTGGTCGGCTTGTCAATAAAAACACCGCCAAATTCTGTATAATCATTTCCTTAATAGAGCTTTTCAAGACGATCATCAAGCTGAAGGTGTCCTAAGGTAACTAGTTTATTCCTAGAGTCAACTTCCATTCACTGATATAGTCCATGTTTCTTGTGTCTGTTCAGCAATAGATCACAGGTGAATTAGAAAATGTGGTAAGAACAAGGAAGTGGCACACGAGGCACAGCAGTTTGTGACTGATGCATGTAAAAAGATTTTAAAAATTGTCGATGGTGCAGTCATCAATACGGCAGTAAACAACAAATAGATTAAAGATGTCAGTGTCCTTGCTTTTATTTTTAATTTTACTTTCTTGGAAACACGCCTCCTTAAAAAAATACTTCACACCCCTAGAAATACACTGCAATTAATCCTATCTTAACCAGTTTTTACATGTATCTTTTTTAAATTCTACTCATTCAATTTCGAGAAAACAAGAAAAAAATGCAAGGCTTGCGAGTTTTCACCGCAAATCTTCTTTCCTTACAATGTAAGTAAATGGAGACGAAATAAGATGAAGAAGCTTTGTCTTCACAGGTTGACACAGGCTTCTGGAAAAAGCATTTACCTTCACACATAGGCTTGAATGAGAAGTTTTCAAACAACCTACAAATTGAGGCATCGATCTTGAATTAGGAATGACTTGCCTCTTAACTGTGATCAAATGCTATCTAGGGCGTTACGAACCGACTTATTCGGTGTATCTGTGCGATCACTCTTAAAGCAAAACTTCTCCAACGGATTTCTTATCCTATTAAAATTGGACATTTACCACTCAAAGTTCTATGTTTTTATTCTTTCTTATTGTGAGATTGTCTTCATGGTTAGGCTCGTGTCCCTCGACATAACCAACCTTGGGATACTTTTCCAAGTACAGCTTCTTGAAGACTGTATCTAGGCGATTGAGTTCAGCTTCCGATAGATCCTCCTGGATGATAAAAATAAAAATAAAGAAATGCGAAAAATAAAGGATAAAAAAAAAAGGAATTAAAAAAAAATTGGAGAAGATTGGAAAAGAAAAATATTCTAGCAGAGCGAGGTTTTGATCCTCGGACCTCTGGGTTATGGGCCCAGCACGCTTCCTCTGCGCCACTCTGCTCGCTCAATTATTAGGGGAAATATTAAATATAATATAGGTACGTATGACGTCATGCAGGCCTCACCAAATTATCATTGAGATCTTCTTCTGCCATAGACCATTTGGCTACAGCTCTTGATGCATCCTTGCCAGTGAACTTGTTGTAGGATCCTCCGGGTCCATAAGCTTCTACTCACAGAGGAGAAAGAAAAACAATTGCGGCATCTTTACTCATCAACTGACAAGTGGCAAATGGAAAGATGACAAACAGTAAGAAAATACGATCCAAGTCTTACTTTTCGATTCTGAGACATCGAATACAATCCCTTTGATCGCTACGTAGATGGGAAGATCAGGCTGGAAGCGAAAAAGATGACGAAGCAAAATTGAACAATAGAAAATTGAACATGGCATAGATCATGTCACTCGTCGTTGGCAGTCCAAATTGAGATTAGATATGTCACGTAATCTTTTTAGGGATTCCAATAACCTCTACACTGTACACCTTTGAAGATGACAACAGGTAAATAACTAGGAGATCGTGGAGATCAAATGCATCCAAATTAACCGACTTTAAAGTATAGAATATTACTTACATTCTTTCCGTCGTATTCCGACAGCTCTTCCTTCGTAAAAACTTTTGGCCCATCCAGACTCGCGTCGTTTCCCAATTCCTCAGAGAACGGCGAGTGGATTAAATCATCGTTCTTAAGGGTGATATCTACCGCCGCTAAAGAAATAATAAGGCTCGATAAAAACAGGAGCTGAACAAGAAAAATTTGCTCCATTTTGTCGTAGAGAACCGGAAAGTTTTACTCGTGCGTGACAGATCTACGGAGCACTTAGCAACTTGTCACGTGACCGGAAGTGATGATAAATCATTTTCCCGCCAGACATGGTTTGATGCCACTCTGGTTTACAGATTTAATGAATGTAACCGAAGAAGTTACGATTCATAGACCCAACGTTTCGACACTCCTGTCTAGTGCCTTCATCAGGGGTGATCTAAACGCTGCAACAAGAAGTCCTTTTATATGATCACTAATTAGCGGCCTTTTTTTTCTGACGAGGTGTAAATAGGCGTCAGGAAGCAAACCGCCATCGTCACTATTTTAAGGAGCGTGGGCGGAGTAATATGCCAAGCCTCCAAACAAAGGCGCTGGTGGTAACACCGATTAGTGGTGATAATTTTAGAATTATCCCACCCAATTGTATGGTTAGTTAGGCATGTGTGCTCCGCTAAAGCTGAATTTTCCTTTTTGCAAAAGAAAACCGCTTTTTGATGCTCTTTTAAACGTGTACCAAACTGACGTTTGGCCTGTCCGATGTATTCGTTATCACAGTCATTGCAAGGAATAGAATAAATGGCGTCGGTTCGTTGTTCTTTCGTGACGAGATCCTTAGGTTTGGCGAAAATATACCCCAAAGTCCGAAAAGGTTTTTGAGGAACTTTCGCGTTGTGGCTATTCAAATTCTCTTGATGGGTTCCGTAACACCCTGAATGTAAGGAATAACAGCAAAACTAGTCGCTGGTTCCCTTTCATCAAGAGCGTTACTAGTTGTAACTGGTTTTTGGCAGTTACAGAGAAAGGTTTTTGTATAGCCATCTGTCCTTAGGACATTAGAAACATATTTCCTCTCCTCAGCCTTCGAATCGAGTAAAGATGGTAGACAGTCAGCCCTCCTAAGTAAAGTTTTGGCTACAGACTTTTTATGGCAAATAGGGTGGTAAGAATTGAAAGCGAGGTATTTGCCGGTGTGGATAGGTTTACGGTAAACACTTGTCTCTAAATTACGCTAGACCCCTCTGGACACGTTTAAATCAAGAAAGGGCAAGTGTCTATCCTTTTCACACTCAAGGGTGAATTGGATCGACGGCTCTGCTGAATTCAAAGGCAAAGTTTCCGTACAGCCCCATACTTCATTATGCATACAGTCCTTTGTTAGAAGAAAACAATAGCGCAAACAATAGATTACCTTTGGGACTATTTGCTTTGTTTTCAAGAAGTTGAATTTTTTTTAAGTCTTTATTCAAACCTTCAAAAAATCGTCGTTTTTTAATGAAAAATTGCGCTTAATCGAGCCCAGATAACTCCTTGGAGGAAAGGTTCATGACCCATTTATCTTTCAGAGATGAGCCTGAATTAACAGGAGACCTCTTACTGAGCAAATGACGGAATTTTCTGTCGTGTTTCTCTCTCTGTTTGGTAAACGTCTGCAGTTCTTTCGAACTGCAGAACTCCTCGGCCCAGGAAGTTTCGGAGTTGTTAATCAAAGCAGAGAGTTCACTGAGTGAACGAGAGAATAACGTACGCAAACGTAGTATGGAACTGTGACATTCATCTATTCGTAGCTTAAGAAAAGAAAACCCAGTACGGACTATGAGCTTGTATCCTTTAGCACTCCGTAAAGGAGGCCGAAATCTCAAACTCGATGGAAGCACATAGTTTTCTTTACAACGGTGATTGAGATACAAATGACAGCGATACTAAGCAATGCGGACTCTGATGTTCGCGAGCCGGTTGACCCTTGTAACAACAGTCTGACCATACTTTTCTCGCAAATGAAATATATTAATGTCACACGGCAACCAGGTGGACAATCAGACATGGTTTGATGCTACTCTGGTTTACAGATTTAATGAATGTAACCGAAGAAGTTAAAATTCATATACCCAACGTTTCGACACCCCTGTCTAGTGCCTTCATCAGGAGTGATCTAAACGCTGCAACAAGAGGTCCTTTATATGATCACTAATTAGCGGCCTTTTTTTCTGACGAGGTGTAAATAGGCGTCAGGAAGCAAACCGCCACAACGTTAAAGTTGTTCAAAAACCTTTTCGAACTTTGGGGCATATTTTCAAACCATGTCTGATTGTCCACCTGGTTGCCGTGTGAACTTTAATATATTTTCACGCCATTTTGCGCGTTGCCGCCGCCCGTCGCAAAGTTGTTTGTCAAGACTGAAGACCTAGCTAAGCGATAATCGAAGCTAACTTCCTGAAATATTTTCATTAAATATTGGCAACAAAGTATCTGGCGTGAACTTCGTAAGTACAGTTTATGATTAGTTCGTAACCATTAATGGGTCTTGATAAGGTTGGAGTTAAAAGACTAATTAATACTTCTGTATTTTTGAAGCTAATTTAAGGCTTTACTTTATTCAGACGTTTCTTCGCGCTCTAGGGACTGAAAACCTCTTTGTGGGCTGAAAGGAGTGATTTGCCTCACAACACAAAATACTACTGCCAACTTTTTTACATGCACACATACATATTTATTCAAATGTATACAGTCGTTTTTGTTGGGAAAAGCAAAGGTTTATATATTTGATACACATTTTAAAATTGCAACGTTTTTGAAAATGGTGTATCTACAAATGATACGAATAAATACGAAAATGGAGTTTTGAGGTTAACGCTATTAACAAACTCCCCCTGTTACTAATACTAAAAATGACTGCTACTAACAATGAACTGATTTGAGGTACCGCAAACTTATCTGTAAAGTTCACGTACTATACTCCTACCCTCCATTTGCTTTGAGCAATAATAATTTTCTCCTCTGTTTTTTGTCTAAATAGGTGGAAAGACGCAGACATCAAAAGTCTTGGACGTGTTTTGAAGACATGGTTAGAATAAAACAAACGATCTGCGGTTGCAGAGTGGGAAATCATCGATATTTTCCAAATCAGACCCTACCTTTCAATCGCGAAGGAGCAGAGGATGAAGAAATCGCGACATTTCCGATATCTCCTGTGAAAATTACACCCCTCCTGATCACCACTCGTCCCGTAAAGAAAAGATTGAGGTACAGTCCAGGAGCCCTTGCGTTGAAAGAAATCAGAAAATTCCAAAGAAATACGAATTTGTTGATAGGGAAAATCTCCTTCCAACGCCTTGTCCGTGAGATTTCGCACAATTTTGCCCCATATTTGCGGTTTCAACCTACAGCTTTGCTAGCGCTCCAAGAAGCGGCCGAGTCATACATCGTTAGTTTGTTTGATGATATGAACCTATGTGCTCTCCATGCCCGTAGGGTTACTATTATGCCTCGAGATATGCAGCTGGCGCTACGGATCCGTGGGGAAAAAGTTTGATCGAGAACTTCACTTTAAAATGCAGAAGTATGATTATTTTGTCTCGAAGCTGTTATGACTGGTTTTTCATTTTCTGTGTGTCGATAAATCGATATTAAAGTTCTACTAGAAAATGGTTTCCACAAACGTATCTACCGAAAAACTTTTTCCATACCTGTAAATATTTTGAATTTGTCTTGTTGTCGCCATTCTCTTTGAATAGGGACTGACATAAAAAGAGGAATGGGGAGGGGGACGGGGAAAGAGTTACAAACGTTTGATTCTAATGAAATCTCGTCCAAAGCAACAACTCGTGCAACTTGATTCATCGTAGGTTCCACCCCTATTGGGAACACTCGGAGTTCTTTTTTCTCCCAGTATGCCCTTGTTATTCAATGAATAACATCATCCTTCCATATTTAATAGATACCTTTATTTACAAAAGCTTTCAGGATAAATAACCCCCCTAATGACAGCAAAATAAAATGCTATCTCGACACACACATCAAGGCATCTCCTCTGCTTTATAAATCGCTTTCAGCAGGTGCACTGACGTCACTGGTAGATTTTCGCCGAGTCGGTGATTTGGGTGGGGGCTTCGGTGACAGTGGCGGAGATCCGTGGAGCGGTTTTCCTGGTTTTATCTTTTTCCCGCCTAAATACCAAAATTGTTTCGTATCAGTAACCATCGATACCCCCCAAATTTGAGCAGGAGGAGACCATGGAACAACAGACATAGGGCGGATATTAAATGGCGTCGCTTGGATACGAATTTAATCTTAGAGTGATGATAATAATTTTCCTATGGTCGCTTCCTATGGTCGCTTAAATTTCCACTTTACTCACCAGAATTCTGTTACTAATTCTGAAATCTGATCGGTTAGGAATACGTTACTCGCTATTTATTCCTTGATAGATAAAGAATAGTGAGAATAGCCTCGCAGAGTGCGGTTGTAAAAAAACAAAATAAAACACAAGCCTGTCTTTTTTCAAGTTTAAGCGAATAGTCAATTCATAAGAAAATAATTAGATTACTCGCTCTCTATTTTTGTGCGTGATTCAGTGTTGATTCAGGCTACACCCTCATCATAGAAATCTCAAGCTCAAAACATAAGTGTTGTATAGATCACTGCAGCAAAAGTTACAAGCTAAAAAACGGCTACAAAACTAAATCATAAATTGAGCAAGGATCCTTTCAAACCAGCCTATGAGTGGGGATAAATCTTAAGGGATGTAAATGCATTCGTACCTTCTGATTTACGCTCTGATTGCGCAGTGTCTGCAAAAGAATGGACAAGAGATTACATAAATTCGAATAGGAACTGGGGGAAAGAGCTGCATGAAAATGTGGTCCCATACATGTGAGCTTATGAAAAAACTTCAATAAAAATACTCGTAGGATATAACAAACAACAAGCATCCTATAAGGGGCGGGGAGTAAACATCCTCTCAAGGCGTTGGATATTGTGGTCATTCGCGTTTTCCCGCGCTTGAGCCCGTCTCTTTACAAGCTTTTACATTTAATTCTCAATGACGCCTAGTGATTTTCTATTTTCAGTGTTCTGGACGATTGTTGTGATAACTTCTCCTTTTTTTTTCAAGAGTCAAACAAAAAGCGCCATAACAAGTACGCCAGACAAACCTTTAGGTCTTAAGTTTGCCACTCCATCAATGAAGTGAGACAATACCGACAGCTGCTCTTCGAGTTGTTGATGGATTTCATCAATCCTGCATACAGCATGAGACAGCAAGATTATTAGTGCCATAATTACAAGACTCAGTTGGCCTCCTTTAGATTACTGAGAAACTTCCATATTATTCAGCCGTCAAGTATTTCTATCTAGTTTCCCTTCTGACAGTCTTTTTACCTTTCTTCTCTCACACTAGTTTCCTCTTGAAGTCTTTCAATGTCCTCCAACATCAGAGAATCTCGTTCAGCATAAATCTGTTTTAATCAAGAAAAGGTAAAAAAGAAGTTGAACACTGATGCAATGTCAAGAGATTCTTACCTCTGTCCATCAAGATTTTTAGCACTTACTTTATCAAGGTTGAAGTCCTCTCTCCAGCGCTCGTGTAGCGTACCTGAAAATAAGAACTCTAAATTATATCATTGTTATCGAGGGGCAGCACAATCAGATACTGTTCGCTTTTCCACGTTATTTCAGAAGTACTCTAATTTTATTTCGCCCAGATTTTATTCCATACAAAAATGTCCTCACACAGACTTACAGCCCATGCAATCACACAGGTTTGAGCTAAATACGACAGTAACTGTTAGAATTCTATTTTATAAACCCAAAAGTTTGAGGTTTAAAGGAAAGACGGAAGCATATAAAGACAGCTTCAGAAAACGTACCCCTGTATTCCAAAAGCTGTTTTTGCAATATCTCTCTTGTTCCAGAGTTTGCGATCATTGCCTTCCGTGTGATTTCAATTTCCGCTTCAAGCTGTCTGATGGCCTGGAGAACGAGTAGAATTATTAACTAATTATTCAAAAATCACAGCAAAAGCTCTCCGTAGAAAAGTCAGTTTTCGCTACCTTGAACTTCTCGCCCTTAAGAGTAATTAGCACCTAACTTCTCCACACCATATCACCCCTGAATCAAACATTAAGGTCTTGAGAAATAATGAAATGGTTATCAACTAAAGATGCTTTTGATTGTTAAACAATTCTGCTTGTTAGCACCTTAGGAAACATACAAAGAACAGTATTAAGAATACGCATATTGATACTAGAGTGTATGACATATATGACGGTATCTTGCCGTATTTCAGCAGTAACTCTGCTTATCTCAATAATCTACTTCAAACTCATGAAAATGCGGGACCCCGAATGGGATGAATTGATGTGGGGAGGTGGTTAAAGGCTGGATGAATGATTTAACAAAATTGCTGACATTGCGTGTCATAGTCAAAATTCTCCTCATCGTCACATACCTGCTTAAATCTTGTGCATGACATGAAAAAGAAAAGCATTATAAAAGCGTTAACTGTTATTCGACATGCACACACTTCTTCGAAACAGTAATTGAAATTTAAGTGTTATTTACAACGCTAGAAGTCGAGAACATCAGCAAAGGTTCAGCGGACTCGAGAACTAGCTCCATTTCAGTTTTTGACCAGAAATACCAAAGAAGATCTAGAGGGTAGGGTAACCAAACAGGGGGTGGATGGGGATATTTGCCTCCTCATTACTTATGCCATAAATTGTCACCTTGGCTCAGATTTAAAGAATACTATGTACAGAGGCAATTCTTTAGTTGAAAAGCCACGATGTTCAAAATCAGTGGGAACTATAACAGACTTTCGAATACAAGTTTATTTTGTACTTAAACTCCTCTAAGCGTTAATGAATAAAGATTTTGCAATGAATGGGGGGGGGGGAAGAAAAAGGCAGCACAACAGGAGTGGGGTTTATGAGAAACTAGCGGTCCTAGAAGGGAGGAGCATCATAGAAAGAGGCCCTGGATAAAGAAGAGGGAGGTCACTGATACTTTAAATTACAATTTTTACGTTCACAGAGAACGGGTCACACTTCCTTGAACTTGAAGTACACTACAGAAGTTTAAGCTTCACTCTTCAAGACTTACAAGCCGTAACCTGGGTAGTTGTTTCAATCGTAAGCGGTAGAATTTTTTTGAACAATTCTACACTTGCCCATTATACCATGGGGTTAAAGGTTAATGAAGAGATACACTTATTCCCCCCTTGTTTGCCCCTAAGGTGGGTTTGTTATTATACCTGTGGTTCTCTTTGAGTACTGCCCCAAGCCGCTGACCGGATGAAAATATTTCTGTTTCAATCTTCTTCACGTCCTCTGATTGGTTCTTGAGTTGTTCCAAGGCCTCTACCCGTCTCTCCCTCAGCTTCCCGTGTAAACGAGTCTGTGGTTCTGCTAACTTGTCCACGTCTCTTTGAGCCCTTTGAACAGATGTCTCCAGACTAGCTTTTTTGTTTTTTAGGTCTGTGATATCAAGAGATGGGAAGAAAAAAAGAATGTTTATCACGCTTTCATATCGTCAGTGTTGTAAGCTTTGAAACCAATCGGCGTGTTTGTAATGTGTGTGACAGTTCTCCTCTTAAATTCTCTCTACATGGATTAAATGTTTAGTCCAACATTGCCTTAAGCGTTTTACCACTAAGGAAATCTAATTTTGACAGAAAAAAGGTCATCTCCGTCTCCGTATAGGAGTAGCAACACCCTGTCTCTTCATTGTAATACCTTCTAATATAATCATGAAAACCTTTACAAGCACTATCTCGAATCACATTTTCGATGATTGCCCTGTGTTCTGCACTGAATATCAGTCTTTACTTAATTCACAGAAAAAAATTTGCTCCCCAGTTTCGTTGAGTTCCTACCATAATTTTAGAAAAAACTAGCTGGCGTTTTAACAACTTTCGCATACTAGAGCGCTTTTCGAATGAGTGTCTCAAAACCAAAACCGAAATGATCTCAACGGCCAATCACCGTCCAAAAAAAAATATCACAAGGAGCCAATCAGTAATCGGAGAGAAAACGAGAGATATGCTTGAGGCGCGGGAAAACTCAGACGACAAAGTCGCGATCGATTTAAGCTTTACATCCGATTGGTCGAGAGGTTTGCGCAAAATTTCTAGACCAATGAAAAGGCAGATGAAAGGAGAACCAATACAATCATAGATTATTTACGACATTCAACTGAAAATTACTTTTTGTTATGACGTTACTTACCGACTATGTTCTTCTTTGTCGTGTCAAACTCGTGTGTCCTTTCTTTAAACTGAACCTCCAGATCTTTGAAGATTGGCTGCAAAGGTAAGAACGCAAATCATCGACGAGTGATCCACAGAGTAACCTTCATGCTAGAGCAGACTAAAACGGACGGCGATGATTCATGTAGTTAAATTGACAAGGACCCTTAGCAGGAAATTGTACCTCAGCGAGTGTTTTTCAACTTGAGTCCTCTTCTTTGCTAACATACGGTGAAAATCAAGTTTTCTTGGAAAAGCGCATTCGTTAAAGAGAATCATAGCAGTAAACGCGAGATATCATTCTTACGGTTTTGTCCTGAATTACATCTTTTTTCTTGTCCCTGTCTTTCTCCAACTTATCAATACTTTCCTGTAATCAAATAAAATTGATGTTAAAATTTGAAGCAGTGCGTGGAAGAAGTTTCAAACAGCACGCAAGAGCGGAAATACGGAAAAATCTCTTAACGAATAGTGTTGTATAGTTTTCTACCAAACTGATAAAAAATCCCAAATTTCTCCCTCATTCATCGGATCCACTAAATGAACTATATTAAACAACAACAGAACTGAACATGTTAGACCAGCTTACTTGAAGAGCTTTAAGCTGAGTCTTGAGCTGCTTTTGAAGTGAAGTGTAATCGTGTTTTGCTTTCTTGAGCTGTTTCTGTTTACTGATAATGTCTGCTTCGTCCTTCTTCAAGTCTTTTTGCAGTTGAGTCCCCTGCAGTAGGAAAAAAAACATACACATTAAGTAGGAAATAAAACGCAGTCAACTCAAGCGCTGGGAAAGCCGCTGACCAAGTCATTACTAGTTTTATATAAATTTGCAACCTGATTGGGGTTGCCGCGCGTTTTCAGAACCAATCACAAGGCAAGGAAAAGCACAACCAATGAAGTCCTGGATTTTCAACTTTGTAAATACAAATTTCAGACTGCATTATACTCACACGCTCTGTTAACCTGGTATGTTCCGCTTTCCCTTCAGTGACCTTCTTGGACATTGTAGCCATATAGCGTCCATATTCGCCTTTGAACTCGTTCGACTCCTTCGTGACATTGTCTCTTTTCTTTTGTAAAACTTGCCTGCAGTCAAAAACGAGATTGATTCAATATATGAATCCCTACACACGATGAAAGTAGCCATACCCGGTAATTTTAGGCGGATCCGATTCTAGAACCAAAGATCCGAGGGAATCAAAAATAACCATAAAAGCAAAGAAAAGCCCGTGGAAAAATTGATACAACGTGTTACATCATCATTCATTAGAATATTTAGTGAGGTTGATATGCAAAAATTGCAAATAAAAGCAAATTAGCTGACAAGAGCGGGAGTTGAAGCCACAATAACAAAAGTTTTCCCTGACAAGTGCACGCACCTGTCAAGGCAAAATGTGCTAATTACATCTTTCTTTGGTTCTAACCTGTCTTTTCTCTCCACCGTTAAAGCGCTCTTGGACGTTTCGATTTCCTTGTTGTATACATCTACAGTTGCTCTGAGGAGACAGAATCAACAGCTGATTTTAGTTTTGCGAATCATCTAGCTTCAACTGAGGAATTAAAACAAAAACTTATTCATTCGCATTTGCATCACTTGCCTCATAATGTCAGTGTCCGGTCGAACATGCAAGTGCTTTTGAGACTTAAACAAAGAAACGAATGGGAGAACAGAGTCACTACTTCTGGCGCGCTTTGAAATCGTCCAATCTAGTGACTTGACTTTGCTAAGGTTTTTTTTTATATATTTTTTTCAAATAAACGATACAGGTATCAGTTCTGTTGCAAACTCCAGGGAAAAGAGCCATTAACTCGCGGCTGCTGTACGCGCCAGAAAACTGCTTTGATTCATAGGCCGAACATCTCATGAGGCAACCAAACACAAATTAGTAATAACCCTTTAACTCCTGAAACTGACTAGCATCTAATTTCTCCTTACAATATCACCCTTGAATCAAACATTAAGGTAATGAGAATAAAGGAAATGATCGCCAATTCAAGAAGCTCTTGACTAGATTGATGCACAAATTCTCCTCTTCAGTACCAAAGGAAATGTATATAGAACAGTATGGAGAATATACATTCTGACGTTGGGTTGTCAAGGGTCATTAACCATTAAATTATTCCTTACTTGTGGCTTTCCTCCAGCTGGTTCATCTCTTCCTCTAACTCCATGTTCTCTGCTCTAACCTTGGCACATTGCTGATTTTGGTTATGTAACGATTCCTTGCCTCTGGCAAGGCTGTACAATCAAACAGAAACAGAACTGATTTTAAACATAATTACAGAAGACTGCATTTGAGAAACTTGCACTCATGTACGTGATTTTGTGTCTTAACGGTGAAAACCCCGAATTTCACACTCACGCCTACAACGAAACGTCGGTCAAATCAAGTTTGTGCAAAAATTAAACTGCTTAACTATTCAAAATGTAAAAGTCCAATCATCATATAAAACTCAAATGCCTCTTACACTCTTTCATGGTGTCGTACCACCTCAGCGTCTTGTTCCTGAAGTTCCATGGCAATTTTATATTCTACAGGGGAAAAAAAATTACAATCAAGAAACTTTCAGCTCTTTCAATTTAAAATTCAATAGTTGAAACACTCTTTGGAAAGAAAAAACTGTATAAAGAATGAAAAACTTTCAAGGTATAAATGAAACACATAATTAGCACAACTGTCCTCGAATGAAATTCGCGTTCCATTTTTTTTACAATGATATTTACTTAAAGACATTTTTCCCCCACAGTAGCTAAAAAAATCTGCTGCAGATGTCACCTTTTTCAAGTGATTTCTTTTCAAATGTCAGCTGTTTATCTTGTTCTTCTGCCTCTTTCAGTTTATTCAGTACCTGTAACGTAAAAAATTTAGCAAAACAGCATGTTCAGCATGGGTTTAACCGTTTTCTCCGGTTTTACAGCTGTTTTCTTTCCTCTGGTTTTACAGCCCTTCCTCGGTTCACTTGCCACTAGCCTTAAATTATCTACTGTGGTTAGCAATCTTAAATCAAATTCTTCCCTGTCTTGCACATTCACATTGTTCATGGAGAGGTGATATATGTAGTACTACACAAGAGATAAAAATCGCTTTGGTTCGTTTTGCCTTATAATTCCGCAATTTGAGGATTCACACCATTTCTAGTTGAACTTGCAATGACTTCTTTCTCTCCTCCAACCGTGAAGCCATTTCATTGTGTTCTTTGACAATTTTCATCCTAAAGAAAAGAAAAAAGTACAACATTTGCTGATGCAGTAAAAGATAGATTATGAAGACTCAAATGTGTCTTTAAAAGTCAGAGAACTAAATGCATCGTGACTGAAAACCTCTCATTACCTTTCATCCACTCCCTTTCATTTTATGCACTGTTCTATGTAGTTATTTTTTATTGTTGTTCCACAGCGTGAAAGATGACAATTTTATATTATTTTAAAGGTGCTAAAAATTTGTTTAACAATCTCTTTTGGGCTCTTATGTAACTGAAAATTTATCCAGAGTGCTTTGTATTGAAGACTGTGGCAGACAAAAAAATCAAGGAATCAATCATGTCTGATCTAACAGAGACTATTACATGACAAACACTTTCTTTTCACTTCATCTGACTCACCCTTCTTGCGTCAATACGGAATTATCTTTGATTTCCTTCTGAAGTTGTCTGTTTAGTTGTACCTCTTGAGCCTCCAGCCTGTTACGTGATGTTTCAAACTTCCTAATGTTCTAGAAAAGACATTTCAAGTAATAACACACACATTTACATAGAACCTGGTGATCTTTGCACCAAAATTCTTTCTTTTCTCCTTCCCAACTCCTAAGAAACACAAAACAACTGCGAGTATATCCTTAAGAAAATAAATGCTGTTTCATGGGAAAGGATCAAGATACAAAAAAAAAAAAACAACAGTGTAACAGCAGCTTGGTTAGTCAGAAATAAACTCATCTCAAACTTTGGAAGTTGAAGTAACGCACCTTTCTCTTAGAGTCTAAAACTGATTCACTGTCCACCAACTCCTCCTGCAATTTGTCAATTTCCCTGAAAAAAATAGTACTCATGGAGAAATACAAACTAAAAGATTTAATGGTTAAAATCACAGAATAAAACAATAACAAAGAATTAGTCCAGAAAAATAATTATACAAACTTAGTTTATCTAATGAAGAGCTGAGTTACTATGTTAAATACTCCCTCACTGTGAATTAAGGGATAGGCATTATTAAATAACTTGATCAAATTTTAAATGAATTGTAATGTGACACAGTAAAAACTTGAACTATCTGATACAGTTCAAATATATTTTTTTCATATCCATAAAATTTGATAAAAAGTGAAGTAAAGGTTTTTACTTTCTCTTTTCAATATTTGTCTTGCGCTGCTCCTCTGCTTTTTTCTGAGTGTCAGCCTGCACAGAAATTTGATCATCAATGATGAGCCCATGAACAGCTAAATATTATAAATATTCAACATAACCATCAGATCTGCATAAATCAATCAATTCACCATGTGAAAAAATGATAATTGTACGACTAACTTTCATGTATTTGTCATTTACTGGTCAGTTATACGTAAAATGTCAGATAAAAGGCCTCTAGCAGAGTGTTTTAAAAATTATACAGCTTAAATGCAATGTAGTAATCAGATTGACAGACTGAGTCATAATTTCAGGTAAAAAAGGATAAAATGTCCATTTAATTTCCAAAGTACTCACCACTGATTGTTTAAGCTTTTCTTTTTCCAGTCGTGCTTCCTCTCGTTCATGAACCAAATCTTCTTTCAACTGAACAATTGAATCTTCTAGGTCAATTATCTTTATACAGGAGAAAACAATTTAATTTAAAAACAATCGCCATCACTTAACAACAGTGGTCAGTGTGATATGTTGTGCAATAATATTCTTACCTGAACTCTTATATACCAGTAACTGAATTATGGATTTTAAACATTGTAGTGTATATCAGTTGTTACACAAGGAAATATTTGCCCATGAAATCTGATCATCATGGTGAAAATAGTCCTGAGAAGAACTGTTGTCAGTACCTAGCTGATTTTTTGACAATTTTAGTAAAAGTCATCTCTGATCTTGGCTTCCATCACTGTTATTTCAGTCATTATCAGAATAATCCTTCTTGAGAGTACTCTTATCTTAATGATCCAACTACATAATAAACTATGTTCTCCCTATTCAAACCATTTACTGTACTAGGAAATTATAGCCACACTCAAGACATAATTGGTTTGGATACTTCTCCAGAACAATGTTTATGATATTATTTTCCCACAATTCCTACCCCCCTTCTAGATTTGTTGATTGCCAATGTGTTCATGGGATGGGCAGGAGAGGTAACAAGTGTCTCAAAAGACAAATGTGTCTGTAAAGTGTAGGTCACACAAATTTTAACACCAACCAACAATTATGGACAAATGGCTTTAAGCATAATGATCATAGCAATTGATTTTGAATTGAAATTGTTGAAAAGCTCGATGAAAGACACAAAAAAGTTGCAAAACATCAGGAATAAGCATTAAGAGCTCACAGTGTCCTATGCTTATGGACATATTTATTGGAACAGTCTTGGTGTATTCTCTGCTACTCTAACCCCTGGCCTCTGAGAAAACTGGTGGTTGAAAAACTTGGAAGGGCAAGAGGGGCAAGAGAATAGTGTGCCTGGTTAATTCAGGGGTCCCAACTAATTACATCAGAGGATGATAGTTACATGTACCACAATCTAGTATCTTACCCTTTTGTATGTTTCCCTCAGTTTATCACGTGTTTCATTAAGAGTAATTTGTTTGCTATAGATGCAAAAAGAAATCAAGTTATAACTTACACTCTGGGCTTATAACATCAAAATAGGATACATCTCCATGACAAGAAAATCACCTCAGTTTTTTGATAACCATACCCTGTTAGACAGTACTTAATGAATGAGTTGGAGGGCTGGACTGAGGATGTCTGGCTCCAGGTGCAAAATAAGAGAGTCCTGCTCTCTCTCCCCAAGCCTTAGAACTAAATATCTCTCAGCACTGTAATGTGCACTGTATAGATACACCACCTTCTCACTCTAAATCCACAATCAGTGACTTGTTACCTTGCTTTATCAGCCATCTTCTGATTAAGAAGTGCGATGATTTCATCATGTCCAGTTTGCATGTCATTCCTCTCTGGCCTAGAAAGTATAAATCCCTGCTATGCATTTTCATTTCATATTAATAATATTTTAGATTTTATGTAAATACTTATGATTTCAATTATTATAGAATTGGTAAACAAATACTGATTATTTATATCATGAGCATCTGTTCAACTTTGAACATAAACTTCATTCCAAGTTTTAAATGTTGTTTACTTCTGGATTTCATATCAAAAGTAAAAGAGGCCATACCATGATACTGACTTATTTCAGGTTTTTAGTTTACAGCCTAACATCAGAGTGCATATTCTCCAAACTGTTCTCTATACAAGGTGCTGACGAGGGAGATTTGTTTGACAAACAAGAGAAGAGCTTCCTTTGTTGGTGATCACTTCCTTTTTCTTGTGACCTCAATGTGTGATGCAGGGGTGATATTGTGTAAGGAGAAATAATATGCTGATCACTCTTGGAAGTCAGAGGATTAATATCACATAGAACTGTTATGTTTTAGAGGGAGTAAACAATGCTTACTCCAGTTTAGCATTTTCCTTTGCAAGTTCTTCGTGTCTGTCCTGAAGGGACTTGATGTTTGTGATGATAGTGTTCAGCTGAGTCTAAAATGGATAGAGACAACTATGCATGTTAGACATGTAATGAAATAAAATATATCATGATAAAAAAATACATTTATCATGCAGATTACCAACCTTTATAAAAGATAATACATAACAGTAAAAATAATTTTAAGATTTTATTAAATTTATTTTTATTTCTTTTTGTTTTCAAATAGAGCCCAAAAAAGCCTGCGTTTAAGCTGGCAAAGTGAAGGCCCCCTTTCAATCCAGGACACCAGATAAATAAGGCAAAGAGCATGCAAACCATCCTGCTTGCCTCAAACTTTCCATATTAGGATAACCTCCTGGGCTTAATTGTTGACAGAGTGGATAAAACTATATCCAACAGATGAACCACTATCCAGCAGAAAAGTAGAAACAATGTGCACTTTGATATCCACCAGATAGAGATGTATCCAACGGATAGCATTTTTTCAACTTTGGAACAGCCAGTGCCTGCTGTTAAGAGGCCTTATAGCTTGCAATTCAAATCAACCATGTAGAAAAAACTAGTTAAGAGAGTTAATTACACAGGAGGAAGAAATATTGAGGAGAAATGGAGTTTATAATCAACTAATCTGAAAATTTAAAAATTGAACTAATTAAAAGTACCTTTAGTCTCATTATTTCTGCTTCATTTGACTGTCTAGCTGAATATACAGCACCTAAACAGAAAAAGTACATACATGTAATTATTAATATCCAGACAATGTTATATCCAACCAGATGACCAATGCAAAGTGCAGTCTATTGCCTAATTGAACATGCAATGCCCAAGGAAAGTCACAAAATTCTTATCATACCTTGTATCTCTGATTTGATATCGCTTGGAAAGTATTTAAGTTTGTAACGGAGAACACTGGCTGTAATTGTTTCTGTTTCAAGCAGTTCATGGAGTTTCAATCTTTCTTCTTCCTATAATGACATACATAGGTGTAATAAACAAGAATTAAGTCACTGTCATATTTACAAAAATTACTTTTTTAAATGTTATGATTTGAAGGTTAATTCAATCTACAAAGATGATATAAAGCTTTACCATTAGCTGTAAACATGAGAATTTAATCAAATTATTGTCAAGTTTGCAAAATGAGAAAATATAAATTTGCAAACAGTCACATGCAGAGGGCACAACCATTTTTCTTACAATCAGAGGTAGATAGACAGAGAATCATATGAAAAAGTGAGTTGTTGTCTTTGCCTAGTGGGTTTTTACACACAGCTTCCAACAAAGGGTGAGGAGATTCTACTAGAGCTCCACTAGTATTTGGAAATCTGGGCCTTTATAAACAAGTGCATGACCCTTGAATCAATCAAAAATTACCTCTTCCTGGTTTCCACATTTGTATGACACAATTCATTTTCAAGTGCACAGAAAGAAACAATTTTTTTTAAGTAAGCTGCAGTTATAGGGATGGCAGAAAAGAAACTCTCTTACAAATTGCTTTTATTGCAGCTCACGTATGGAAATTGTTTCTTTATTTGTACATCACAAATCACTGCAGGTCACAATATCATTTTATTCCCTTAAATTGTGATTTACGTGTCAATCAGTTACTAATGATGAGAAATGGAATATCATCAGCTAAGAAATTGCAATGAAATAACGAAAATTTTCAAGCTATAACTTAATAAAATGTGAGTCGCAAAGAGGATATAAATTTGACAGGAAGATCTAATTGTCAAGCAGCTACATTTTGAGCTGTTCTGAAGCATAATTCAAAAGATAAAAACATCATTTGAATAATAAATGCTCTCTAATGAAACTTTTTTGGCCAAGAAAATCCTCATGATTTCAACAATCCCTTGTGGTACCTCATGATTTACTTTATATGTATCTGCTCAGGTATCAGGCAGCTTGATAACTTTAAAGGCCCAGGATAAAAAAGTGAGTTGCTAATGTATTTTTAATTTCAATCTACCAGATCTTTGAGGGCTTTAACGACCACGTCCACTCCAGAAGTATCCACAGGTTCTCCGCCTTCTCTTCTAGTCCTAACATGGTGCCCTACAACGTAAATGGCAAATTTTCTAACTATGCAACTTAATGGTTGTTGTCTTTTTGACAATATTTCTCACTGATTACCGAGTTCTTGAAGTTTCTCAACGGCACTGTTAACGAGGGGTGTTATTTCCGTTGACTCAGATCTTCTCTTCAACATTCTAAGGTCAAAAATATTAGCTAGAACTTCACGCAAACAACGGCTTTGCCTTCAACAATCGCCATGTCAACTACATGTAACCAGGGGAGAGTGGCAATCACTGAAATAATATGACAAAAATTTTTTAAGTAGGGGAGAGTGTAATTTGAAAACTTCTAGATACGTTATGTTCATTGGCAATAAATATTGGCTGAATAAGATTGCAGTAATATTTTATCAGTATGATGTTAATTCTCAAAATTTTGTCCCTGAAAAAAAAAATCGGTTTTTAATGGTACTTGACAATCTTAAGAGTAATTAAATCCTTCCTATCCCCTCCCTAAAAGGTAGATTATGATCTCGCCACAGCGAGGTAGTTTCCAAGGTACAGGAAGTGCAGCTGAGGTCAACTGCGGAACACAGTCTCAAGAAGATGGCTACTGTCGAAGGGGAGTTCATTTTCGATGCCGTTGGCGGCTTTTTAACTTCACCAATATGGAATTATCCAGTGCGTACTTTCATAGAACAAAATTCGCTTGGTAAGAACAGTTTTCCTTTGTAGTTGGTTTTTTTTTTCTACTATCGAAGTCGAGTGCTCGTGACGCTTAGTGATATTTCCTCAAGAGAAATTAAATTTTTGTTTTCCATCTTTTCAAGTATTTGATCCTGACGGCGAAAACCACGAAGCATATCAGGAAATACACAAAAAGTACAAGGAAATGGTAAGAAATGACAAGAAATGACAATCCACTCTCTACGTTAGCTTACTTATATTTTCTAAGCTTTACTTTTGTAAATGTTAGGCGCTCATATCTCTCTCGTGTTTGCCTTCACTAGGAATGTACTTGAACGTAATGAGTTGTTGCTCTTGCAACCTATCGGAAAATGCGAGGTTGTGATCAAATCATTTTCATCCCCTCGCCTCCGTTTCTGTAGATATGATAGAGTGTTTCGTCTTAGTGGGACCGATTTTTAGTTTTTACGTGTTCTACACCGGAAAGGTTTTCAAAGCCTGTGAAAGCTTACCTTTGAAATGGATCAATTGTTGTTTCCCAGCTGTCGCCCTGTCATAGTCAAACAAAACGACAAGACACCAACTGGCTCAATTACTCAAACCATAGGTCAAGAATGGTATTTGAGTTCAAAAAGCAACTCTGGTAGTCATAACTCAAATGATTGTCAAAACATTTAATAATAAATGTATCACACAGACATGCACTTGCTGAGATAATTTGTTCGGTACATCGTTGGTTATTTTGCTTAGTTTTGAATTTTTACTGACGGGGTTTTTAATTTTTCATAGTCAAGTTTACATGTACTTTATCAAATATTGCCTCTTTATGATTTTCATGAACTCCAGTAAAACCAATGAGAAATTTATATATATACATACATATATAGGAAGTCTGAGTTTCGATTTTTCCGTAGTACAGTGCTCGATACGTAGAAGTAGAGCGCCATATATATTGAGATAGGGAAAAAAATTTTAAAATCTCCTGATGAGTGAGTAATCACCAAACAGGCTTGTAGGGATTAAAGTGTTGTCTCTTTGTTTTTTCCCTATCTCAATATATATATATATATATATATAAACCCCTGAAGAGTGAAGCGATTCACGAAACAGGCTTGTCGGGAAATGTAGTTACGTCCTTTTTTCCTTTCATATATATATATATATATATATATATATATATATATATATATATTATATATATATATATTTATATATATATATATATTATATATATTGTCTTTTTCCTACCACGATATATACATCGCTCTATTCCTATGTATTGAGCACTGTTTTATGTATTAAGTCAAAATTTTACACTATATATATCTATATTTATTTATACGTATCCACTGATGATTTATTCGTTTTCAACTCTAATGAATATTGATAATTTCCTTGAGATATTTTGACAAATAAGAGTGTCCCTGCCTCAAGTTCTCAGTACCTGTAATAAGTCTGTGTACCTGTGACCACATTTTACATTCACTACTTGCCAAGTTTAGTCCTGAGGCACCCTTTATTTTTTCACTGCTTATTTTGAACACATTTGAGAACTATGTATCCTTCAAGATCCTTGAGTAGGTTAAACTCAAACAGAGAAAAACTCCAATTTTAAAAAAATTTAATTCCAGTCACATTCGCATCCTGTTCCAATAGCAACTCAAGAAGTTACATACAATGATTTTTATTGCTTATTTTTATAGCTTTCTTTTAAACCCAGTTGTATACTAAGGTTTTATTTAAATGCAATTTCTTGAAGCATCTGTCAGGTAGGACTTGTTCATTTGAAATTCATCCTGTGTGTAACATGAAAGAAAATTGATTTTAACCCATCGATGTTGTATTAAAATTTGGCACCAGAAATTGTTTCATAAGACATTGTGTTTGGTGCTATTTATTTATTAGCTTATTTATTTTTTACATCTGTAGTGATGGGTACCCTCAGCAATATTATTAATGTTATTGTTATTATTATCTTGAAAGGTGGACACTTTGTTATCAAGCTTTATAAAAGATGTAGGAATATCAGAAGAACAGTTCATGAAAGCTTGTCAGGAAGGAAGAAGCAGTCCACAGTTCAATTCTATAAACAGGGTCAGTAAATCAGATCAAAAAGATGTGCCACATCCTGAGTCATACAAACATCTAGACTTAAGCAATTTTGTGTGCTGATCACATTTACACTAGCCCACAGCATTCCATCTTTTTTCTAGGTAATAACCCTTAAGCTTTACACCCTAGCATCAGTATACATTTTCTCCATACCTTCCCTTATACATTTCCTAAGGAGTTAAAAAGAAGAAGTTGTGTAACAATCAAGAGCTTCTTTAGGTGGTGTGTGTGATCGAGGGGTGATATTGTTAGGAAAAATAGACACTAATAGCTCTTATGAGTCAGAAGGTTAAGGAATGTTCCTTCTTGTCATGAGAATTGCATATTTTACTTGTTAATACTGAATTCTGTGCTGTTCTCACTTCTGCCTCTTAAACTTTTATTGCTGACAGGTGTTCAACTGTTAAGTCTAAAACTTTCCTTCTGTATCTATTTCAACAGGATGTCTTTGATCACATGTGGGCTGCTGAAGACTATGAGGTATTCAAGCGACTGATGATTCAGAAAAATATTGAGCTTCAACTACAGGCTCTGCAGCTTCTCCAGCAAGTTCATAATGTCCAAATGCCCATGCCAATACCTATGCAAAATCAAATACCGATGCCTGTTTCTGTGGCTCCACCCAAGTCAGTTCCTATGGCTCCATCCAGTTCTGTTCCTCCACCTCCAGGTGCAGATGAAGATGCTATCATGCAGGAGGTTTTGAGGAGATCTAAGGAAGAGTTTGAGTCTAAACAAAAAGATGCCAAGGCTAAAACAGAACAAGAATTTGAAAGGACTTTGGCAGAATCTACAGAAGAAAGTAAAAGGTAGCAGTTGTTTACATTGTTTGTTTCCAATATTTTATCTTAGCCTTTATACAGGCCCAAGTGGCCCATGGGGCTGGTGCTTGACTCCAGTTTTCTTAGCATGAAGCAGCTGGGATGGGATGCTAATACATCGCAGGGTTACCCCCAGCACATTTGCTGGTACCCATTTGTACACCTGGGTGAAGAGAAGCACTGTGAGAGTAAAGTGTCTTGCCTAAGAACACAAAACAATGACCCTGGCCAGGGCTTGAACCTGGACCACCCAATCCAGAGTCAAGCACACTAACCATGAGGCCACTGCGCCTCCACAATATTTTATCTTGCAGAGAGTTAAAATGTTTATCTGACTAGGAGTGTATGATTCGGCAAAAGAAATTTCAGCAAAACCTGCTTTTAATAATGGTGAAATAAAAAAAAGACTATTCAAGCACCAGGTTTCTCACTGAAATTAATTGACTAAACTGAGACATTTTTCTAAATAAGTCGCATACTGTAAAATAACTGCATTTCTCTGAAGAGCTGTCACATCTAATAGGACTAATCTAATTGTTTATTTTGAAATTTATTCTTTTTAATCTTCTCTCTTATCATCTGAGTCTATCTTCATTATTCCATTAGAGGATCTTTGTTTTTGTCAACACTAGAAAGTGTAGTTGATGAAGAAGGTCCAAGATGATGTGATTGAAAACAATTGAAAGCAATATAGTTGGAGTTGCTCTGTTGTGTTAAAAATTTTTTTTTTTATTTTAATTCTGGTGTTGCCCATGCAAGATCCTTTAATTTCTATAGCAATTGTGGAGTTACTGCACTGTTGTTCCAAATGATATCACATGAGTCACTGAATGATACTGACAGTGTTTCTTGCTGATTTGAACTTCGGAAAGTAATTGATATATTTTCCACTGCCATCAATATTTTTTATCTTGCCCTTGCATCAAGAACTGCACACCAGTGGAACTTGTGTTGGTTTCCATAATGAAGTGACTTTGAGTATTCAACCTTTTACGCACTTGTCTAATAAATAAGGGGGTAAGGTTCTAAAGAAACTGTGGTGCTGCATTGGTGGGAGAATATAACAGGGTAATTGGTATTATCAACTGAGTTGACACTGTAAATTGGCCTGCGTAAAAAGTTTCATAGCTGATGTTTCTGGCATTAGCCCTTTGTCATTCACTCAGACAAAGGGCTAATGCTTGAAATGTTAGCTTTAAAACTCTTTGCGGTGGCCAATTTACGTTACCAACTCAGTTGATAACACTAAATTACCTCTTTAGACCCTAACATGAGTAAGGATATTCTCCACATACTGTTCTAAACAGGTATGTGACATTGTGGACAACATTGACTTTGATATGCTGCAGCACAATTTTTCTTAATCATTCATATGATCTTTAACAACTGGCATACATCATCTTATCCCATTGGGTTAGCAAATTTGTTACACAATTTCTATTTCAATAATGTGATTTTTCACAATTACATATTTCTTCTGTTAACCCAAAAAGGGGTGTGCTTCCTTTCCTTTCCACTTGTAAAAGTTAAAAGTGGCTGTCTATGCCTTTCAATTTCTGCAACCCAACTCCATCAGCTGACTACTTCCTTGTTTACCTGTGTGCTCTGTAACATTTGTTTTTTTGTTTTTTTTTTTTTCATCTTCTGAGCCTTTATCTTCTACACCCCTGGAACATCTTTATCTTCGCAAACACTGGAAAAACTTGGAAAAGAAGGCTCCAAGTGACAAATAGGTTTTAAAAATTCTCTTCTCTCTTAATTGTGGATATTTTTTGGGTATTAGGTCATCAACACTCACTCTTTGTTCTAAAGTGAATCGTTTAACCTTTAACAGTCTAATTACTCTCTGTATATTCTTTCTACTGTACACTATATATTTCCCAAGGTACTGTCAAGGAGAGTTTGTTTAACGATCAAGAGCTTCTTTGCTCAGGGATCATTTCCTCTGTTCATGTGACCTTCATGTTTGTTTCAAGGGTGATATTTTAATGGAAAGTTATATCATAATTTCTCCAAAGGGTGAAACTTCTACATCCTCCTTGGATATTCCATGACATTTTGAGGGAAACGTTTAACAACCATTTAGTGGAACTGTCTCACTCTTTTGACGTTGTTACTGCAACAGCATTTGGGATTTTTAGCCGTTTTAGCGGTTCTCAGCTTTATTTCATTTATGTGCAATTCTCTATATTCTTTAAATTTACCATTCAAATTTCTGCAAAGATCGAAGCAATTATTTTTTCGCTAGAAAATGATTTCAAAGTGATAGTAGCCTTTGGGTAAGGCCTTTATGATGAGCGCTTTGGCCCGGGCGTTTATTTGCCCGCGGGAAATTTTAAGGCCTTGATCTACGCGAACCCGCGAGAGGTCTGTAAGGGGTCTGGAACTGAATATTAGTGCCAGACCCTCGACAGAGCTGTCCCTAACTTGTCTCAAATCTTCCCGGAGGCGGAGTAAGGTGCGTCCTGCAGTACATAGAATGAAGGCCTGCTTGTAAGCTAAGGTGATATCGAAACGTCTTGTTTTTCTGCTAATTTTAATTATTTAATTTTTTTAAGGCTAACCGAAATAGCCAAAAGAGAGCAAGATGAGCTAGAAAAAGCACTTCAGATATCATTGGAGGCACAAAAGATGCAGACAGCCGAGGTGGAGAAATTGCGGGACGAAGTGAAAAAATCAACATCAAAAGGTTCTCCTCAGCCCACCTCTGCTGAGGCCAAACCTGCTCCCAAGCCCTCCCCTGCAGAAAGTAAAGCGGCGACTAAAGCCCCTCCTGCTGCGAGTAAGACAGCACCTAAACCCTCCCCTGTGAAATCTAAGTCCCCCACTCAGCCTAAAAGTCAGGCTTCTGGGTTACCGCCCCTGTCAGTAAAGACAAAGAAAGCAGATACACCAGTTAATGCAGCAGAAGGATGGTTAAAAAGCGCCAAGGAGGACGCTGCTAACAATGCCAGTGTCACGCCAACGCAGGTAAACTTGTCGAGTGTTTGCGCGCGCGCGTGATAATCGCTTATCACGCGAGAAAGTACTCCAACGTTATGGAAGCCCGTTAAGTAAATTTGTGCGTTAATCCGAAATCGCCCTTTGTCTTCGTTTCGCCCTTTGTCTTCGTTTCGCCCTGGGTCCAAGATTTTATCAGGTGCTTAATTTAGATGTGGCTTCCACTAATTTTCGTTGGTGTCAAAGGGACTCCAAAATTTGCTTCTCTTTGCCCTGTGATTGGTCGATAAATCTCGCGTCATTCCCAAATTGCGTTTCGGGCATCCACGCTCAAGGCAGTTAATTTACATCAAAAGACAGCTGCCCTAAGTTAGGTTATTTGTTCAACCGCATCACGCGATATCAAACAGGCGTTAAGTAGATAGATTTATAGGGAATTTCAAATCATTTTACCAACATAGTTATTGAATGTAAAATGTTTCAATTAGAAAGTCTCACCTAATTTTCACTAGCTCATAATTGTTTTCTGTGTGGTGGTTTTCACAGTTTAGTGTGATTTAAGCAATTTCTTTCCTACACCGTTTACCTTCTCATGGAGAAATAGTTTCTTACGATGGGTAGCTTTGCTCTGTTTCACTGGTTACTTCTTTCGGTGGGTTTGGGTTTTGCGACACATAGGCTAATAGCGTTCTGTGTCTGTTACCTTCTCAGTAGTTTTGTGTAGAGTGTTACGCCAACAAAAATGCGAACTTCTCAGATACTGCTGCGTGTTTAGCTCTGTAGTGTGACCATTGTCACACCATCACTGAGGCAGAACAGTCACACACGGTGATTATTGTCACGCACCTCAAACCTCCTTTGCGAAGAAACACAATGGCGTTTCGGCACGGAACCTTCTAAATTTACTGTTGTAATCTAAGTCACTTCTCAATTTTCATCAAACGTACCTCTTTGTGTTAACAGTCAAAGGAGGTAAGCGAAGAGGAGATGAAAAGACGAGCTGCCTATCTTAAACAACAGCGAGACAAGCTCATGGACCTGAAGAGGCAAGAACGCGAGAAAAACTTGACGAAGTACACCGAACAACAGCCGAAGGCCCGGCCGACATCTTCCCGAGCAGCACGTCAGGTCACAGCAGGAGAGCAGGTCCCTTCACCGGCTGCAAAGAGCGACAAAGATGGAGAAAAGAAACTAGCGATGCGGCGAGCTCTTGCGGACGTTTTGAAGCGAGAAGTCGTCGATAAAAATTAATTACTGGCAAATTAACTGTTGGTTCCAGTCGGGGCTGGTCAATGTGAAGGTTACTGTTAATGGAAAGTTAGTTAAAGTTAACTAATTGTTATGCACACTACGTCAGGCGGAAAAATTCACTTAAGGCATATTCTTTTTAAGTGCACGAACAGCGAATTCTCTTTTTCGACCAAGCAGATAGCGAGTATGGCCTCCAAGGTGGCACTGAAATTTGCGGATAAAACTTTTGGGTACTCAAGTGATCACGACGGTGAATAATGTCGCTGTAGGAGTGTCCTGCTAGTTGTACTCCCGCCGGGCACAACATTTGAGATCAGTGCTAAGTTACTTTAGAAGCGTGCGATGGTGATAATGATAAATTAGCCCACGTAGTTTCTCTGTTCTGTTTAAAGTAAGCTAAATTTGGGTGATTTCCTGTTCGTTTTTCCGCGAAAGAAGGTTGGAAATGTTACCAAATTTTGTCCGCAAATGACAGTTTGGAAATATCATAAAGTTTTTCTTTTGTTTTGTCACTTTCTTGTCGTTGGTGCTGTCGTTTTTTGCTAAAATGACGTTGAGATCCACATTCGAAGTGACTAAATCGTTAGAAAAACGTCCATTCTTCATTGCTACTGTATTTTACCACCATGTAATCTCGACTTATGTCACGATGTGTTTCTTGTACGATCCTTGGGTAAGGACCGTGGGGAAATATATTTTGAGTTGGGAGACATTTTAAAGCTACAGCAAGCTTTGTTTTGTATTGTTGATGTCTTCAATTTCACAGGCAGGAAATTTTTTTCAAGAAAACTTCTTGCGAGAGTTTTTTCTTGGGCTAAAGTTAATATAAGAAGTTCAATGCAATAATTTATTTCTATGGTTATTCGGCATACTTCACAATTTTTCCCCTTCTGTTTTATTTTCTTATCGTTTTAGGCAAAATTTCTGTTAATCCTGTTGTTGTGATCTAAAATACACTTTTTTCCAGATCAGAATCGCTAAATATGAAATAGAGAGTCCCTATGTTCGCAATGATGCTACTGAAAGGAATATCCTCTCCCTTAAATTTTGTTACTACAGTAGTATGTGAGCAGATCAATTCAGACTCATAATTACAATAATCCCAGCTAGAAACTGACAGAGTCAAAAATCCTTCTCATGTTCGAAAAATCATCTAAAGAATTTCATGTCGTAAAGTGGATTTTTCAGAACTTATTTAAGACTTAAAAAATGTTTGAAAATGAATAAAGTGCGTGGAGAAGTCTTAAAATTGAGTGACTTATAAGTCACATGCTATAACAATTCTAAGTCAGAAATTACGATAGGTTTTGAACTGAAATTTGAATGAATTTTCCTTCAGTAGCTAAACGCTTTAACTCCTACAAGTGATAAACATGTAATATATCTTTACATTATCCTTACATTGTCCTGTAGACTTACCAGGTTAAAGTTGTTTTCTTGATCTAACATTAAATTATCGTAACTAATTTACAAGAAAATGAGTGGCAGCTAGGGGGTGAACTAACAATCAGATCTTAAGAGTTAAGGGTTTAATTGACCATGAAGACACAAACTGTGGTAATTTAAAGAATGTTATACAAGTTTTATATTATTTTAAATCATGTAATTTTTAATATTTAAGAATTATCGTTTGTCTCGCGACATGGTCACTTATGATGTGAATTGCGACGTTTCGACTGCATACTGCTAGTCTTCATTAGGCGATAAGGTCGACTGGTTTTGGGTCTTCCTAGCGAGCAGGACGTGTAATCGTGGGCATCCACGCTTCAGGAATTTCTATTCCACTGTTCCTTCATGAACTTTATGTGAATTGCCTCTTGGACCCTGTGAGTGCACCATTTATCGCTGATTATTGATCGTGATCCTAAATGGTACACTCGCAGGGTTAAAGAGGCAATTCACATAAGACTTCACCCTAAAAACACCAACAGGGACAGTGGAATAGGAATCCCTGAATTGTGGACGGCCACGATCTAAAAACACAACAACTGGAGAGCCGTAGTCAGCGGACCGCCGAGGGAACAACTCACTAATATCAAGGATCGAAACGCGCCAATCGCGGCGGAGCATCCTGCTTTAGAAACCTGTCGACCTTATCGCCTGGTGAAGACAAACAGTATGCAGTTGAAACTTCGCGATTCAAACCGTAAGTGACCATATCGTGAGACAAGCGATAATACTTTATTATTATTGCACTTTACCACGATTAAGAAGCAAAACCCTTTTTATGAAACCAAATATTTGTTTTGAAGAAGTCTTAATAAATCATGTGAGTACTTAAAGTATTATTCACCTCGCGCGTCAAGAGTTTAATTTCTGAGCCTTTCTCGGTATATTGAAAAATATAAGCTGAGTTTTCGATATCTGAATGCTACATACTAAATTATTCACTTCAGTGTCGGTGAAAGTCGCGGTGAGGTAAATATCCACCACAGTACACCTCCACATCGGTGGATAATTGTTAAATATGATCCGCTGGGCGCAATCAGAGGTCGACTCAGATTCGACCTGTCGAAAGGGTAAGCTTTCTCGTAACTAGCTTTATTGTGCAGTATCTGATAAACCAAGATGCATTATTCAGCTGAAAACTGGTTTCTTAAGCAGTAAGTTTCACATCAGATGATATTAAGTTCATGAAGAAAACAGTGGGCTGTAACGATTTTAATTCATCGATTTTGCGTCTAAAGTTTCGTCTTCAAGTAGTTCCTGTAATTTTTTTTGTCTCGGTTGCTAATGGGCGATAAGCAAAATCAGGATTAGTTTCCAGTCGTGTCATCTATCATTATTTAACCATAGCAAAATATGAAATTTGATATCGCAGAATCTGAAATGTGCTATTTTCTTGAGATGGCCATAATACCGACATGAAAATTCCAATCTGGATCTCGTAAGGAGCCAATTGTTCGTAAAAACTACAAGGGCAGGAGGGGAAAGTGGTATATAGTTGTCAAGTTTGAGGTAGCTTTATTTTAGAGGCCAGAGTTATGGTTCGCTCACTATAAATTGTCCACTTGAAAGGCTTACTTTACGGTTAGTGGTTCCAGATATCTGCTCAATGATAGCAGTTAATATGAAAGCAACCTTCGCAGTATTAAACACTGTTTGAACAGTAGTGAAAGTAAGGCCTGTACGTGATTAGAACTCATGACCTCTGCGATACCGGTGCAGTGCTCTACCAATTAAGCTAACAATTGGGAACTGATCATCATGTTGGTTCCAAATAAACCCGTGAAGTGATGAATAATTGACGTGAATATATGATAATCACATACGTGATCTGAGGATAGAGACGTGACTTCGCAGTAGAGGAAAAAATTCAGGCCTGTACGGGATTTGAACCCATGACCTTTGCGATACCGGTGCAGTACTCTACCAACTGAGCTGGTCATTATGTTGATTCCAAATAGTTTATTTGCAACCAAGTTTAGTTTGTAAAACGTTTTGCGGGAGAAACGCACGAAGACACAACCTACTTATTTTCAAATGGGCATTTTGTACAAATAAAAGAGACGACTTACGAGTATTTCGAACATAGAGGAGTTTCAAAATTACAAAGGTGGATCGATATTATGTTCCAGTTACAAGTGGAGGCAACAAGGTTACATGACACATTGGGCCATATCGTACGAACGAAACTCTTTGAAAGAATATTATTGGTGATGTTTCCCTTCGCTCTGCGTCATGACAATCTTCACTGAACATTTATTTCATGAGCATCAAAAAATCGGACCAAACAATTCTATAAAGGTCAAAATTCTACGCTGTTAATGGCTTTGATGGTAGACTCTGGAAGCGTTTTGTTTTTCGCGCTACATAAAACATTTTAGGGATGATAAGTACACAAACATCCATTCAAGACAAAACATTTGCTCATTAATTTATTCTTAGACATTACTTAAGAATCACAGTCTTTCTTAGGCTTTGCTTTTGATAAAAAACTGTTCGCTCCTTCTGGAGCCAAATAGGGACTATTACTTCTTCATTATTGAACAAGAATGTAGCCCATAGTTTTGATGTTTTTATCCCCATTATCGGCTCCCCATTGGTGCACTGCCACATTTCCACACGAGTTCGAGTAGTCAGGATGACCTCCAGTACCAAAACCGATCCTGGAATCACAGCTGTTGCAGTGATACTGTTCGTTAGCAAGGATACCGATTCGAGCCCTGGGTTGTATGGCGCCAGAACCTGCACACATTGCGTTAAATCCTTCCCAGTTGCAGTTTGATTGTAGTGACGCATTTGAAGGAAGCAGTGACTTCCATTTGTCTCTGCCTAGTGAGGTATGGCGGTATTTCCCATCAGCGATCAGAGAATACAGGGAGGAAGCTGGCCTGTTGATGGCGATGAAGTTGACTTTTTTGCCGCTTTTCATACCGAGACAGATCCTGCTGAATTTCGTTTCCCAGTATGTTGGTAACATTGTCTCATTCCCGTCAAACCCAATCGAGCCAGCAGAAGGGTTGTATCCTAGCGTGTTGGTCCAAATTAACTTATTGTAATGAAAGGTGTCCTAATTAATAAAACAAATCAAATCGTATTATTTCTGTCCAACATCTTTGTACCACAATGAAATTCAAATGCATGAATAGAAACACAGTAAACACCTTTCCCGTTTTAATCCCAATTACTACCTCCAAAATCTCGGCCCTCAACCCGAACCTCTCTAATTCCACTTGGAGGTTGTAATTATCTTGAGTCTACTGTACAAGTTTTTGTTTCATTGAAGCCTGTGATTTATATCTTTTAAAGTACAATCACTACTTTTCGGTCTACGTTGAACAGGAATAGAACACGTGAACTCAATTGATTTAAAAATCTTTTGACTTTTTTTTGCAAAAATGATGGATTAAGATTTGCGAAATTCGAATGAACACTTTTGAAGAAGAATTTTTATGAACCATTTTAATAATTAAAAGAAGAGAGGAAACTGTCTTTTCGAGCATTTTATGAGCATCGTTTCATGTTTACCTTTGAACCATCCATCTTCATCACCAGGGTCCAACCACCACCCCCACATCCATCAAGTGTTGTCATGTGACAGTAAACTGGAAGGATCTTTTTCCCCAGCTTCAGACGATAAGCCTTGTTGACATCAGATCTGAAAAGTGAGGAAAATAAAAAACAACGAATATAATCAATTCTTGAAAGAAGAGGTTCATGTAAAGTATCGATTCGGAGTCTCTATAACCTGCAGCGACAGTCGAACCCAAGGCAGCTTGGGATACCAGCAAAACACATTCTCTAATTTTTAATTTATTGTAAAATGCGTTCTGCTGGATGGAAAGAACTTACCCATTTGTGTTGTACAGCTCCTTACAACTTTCAGCGGCTGGGGCTTCAATTTGAAAAAGAAACCAGAGAGTAAGAATTAGATTGTTCAACTTCCCTCCTATTTGACCCAAGAGAGGTTTCTTGCCAGACTATGCTGAAGAAGACTAGCAGCGAAAAACTCATGATCCATACCGAAAGTGACTTAAGTGTGGGAGCAATGATAATACACTATCGTACTAAAAAATTAGTTTATCTCTCAAGAAAGCTTTTTTCCTCAATCTTACAATAAAACATATCTAAAGGAAAAGCAAAGAAGTTCAATTCAAACATCAACAGGGAGGGCACCAGTCGTTATTGATCGCCTGTGGGGGGAGGGGGGGAATTTGGGGGCATCACATTGTTTTTGGGGAAATCAGTCGTCGCCAACAGAGTATAAAGGGGGCTATAGAAAATTGACTGCAAATCAACTTCCAACGATGGAGGGGGAGAGGGTCATAATAAGAATATTACAGAGCCTAAGCAGGAAGCGGGGAGGGGGGGGGGGATTGCAGTGGCCTGAGATGTAGTGGCGGGTTATGTTGTTGTGTTCATGGGCAAGACAGACTTTACCCAATAAGGATCAGGTAAATTTTATGGTTTCACAACCAAAATCCTCTCACCCCCTTTCTTTTTTGCCCTACAGGAGATGAATACGACCAGTCCCTACTAGCTAAACATCTCACTTGCAAAGTAAAAACATTTTTTGAGCATCGCTGTACATGCACACTCCTTGATATAATGATATTAAAGACCAGTTGTGAATTTCAAGAATACTTACGAGTTTCTTCGCAAGAATTGGCTGCACAGCAGCATTTCAATTTGCAGTCCTCGAACGCTGAGTTCCAGGTCACATTCTGGCAAGACTCGCTTAAGTTACTTTGAATAGCTTTGTCCAGCTGAAGGAAAAAAAAACATATAATAGGATCCCCATCATAACGATTACATTTTTTTATTCATATTTTAATATGGGTTGTAATGTTAAAAAACATGATAACACACCCAGAAATTTTCGCGCGACTTTATTGGTTACCTTGCGCCACGTGGTACAAAATCGCGGGAGAGTTATCACGCAATAGCCAACATTTACGTTGCTATTTGTTCTTCGATTATTTCCGTCGAAAAGAATTAAAGACAGCGGAAAAAACCAGCTTGAGACTTTTACTTTTAATCTTTATGACTTTCTATGGAAGGAAAACGAACTTGCTTCGTGGAGTCGAATGGTAGTGACATTAATCAAAAAGTTGATTTCAAATGCTGCTCCGGAAGGTACCAAAAAGATTCAACAAAATTTTGCTGTCAGCAACAGCTGAATTTTTTGGCCGTTTTACGGCTAACGATTAACCCTATGGATGCCACATTATCGGTGGCTCGATAACGTCCCTGCTAATTTTTAACAAATAGGCTCACTGTAGTCGTACATGTGTTCAGTAATACATAACATATATATAATGTAAAGATATGGTAAGAAAAAGGAGTGGCACACCAGGAGCATCCAAGCGTGTCACTGATGATCTTATTCGATGACGATGTTCACCTTTGTCACTGTACAGTTGAGTACCGAGACATCATCGCTGGTTCTATCTGACTTAGACTTCACCTAAAGCAGGAAGAGCGGTATCCAAAATTAAAATGGAACCTTTATTAACTTATATTTAAAGGAAAATGTTGCTTAACTTGCCAGGAGATATAAGTATCAAAAAGATCGTGAGCGCAAAATGTCGGATTAGTAGGATGTATCCTGGTGATCAGACGAAACGAAATGTTTTTTAGTATGTACGTCAATTTGTGCGCAAGTGAATGCAGAGGGAAAAACTGAGAATTACTAAATACAAAATTCAAATTCACAAAATGACTAATGTCCAAACAGTGGACAATTATAAAGGATAAAAACCAAAAACACAAGGCGAGAAAAGTAGATAGAAACGCTAACTTTTATAATCGCTATAAATTTAGGATTTAAAAACAAACTTAAATAACTTAATCTGCCAGAGCATTACCAAAGTACTGCAAGCAGACCAAACGGGCAAATAAAATTCTAATTTCTAGCTATGTCACAGGCACGACCATTACATAAATGTTTACCTTCGTCACAGTACTTTTCAGGTCTGTTACATCCTTACTTCTTCTGTCTAATGTAGACTTTACCTGGTTAGAGGACGAATAAAGATTTTCACGTTAAGTGATAATTGTATTCACAGCATTTGAACAGGAACGTAGTTAGGATGAACTTGTCTAGTCATACGAAATCTTCATATGTGTGTGAACTCAATTTTACCTTGGTTACGGTGCTGTTAAGCTCTGATAGATCAATTCGTGATCTATCCAACTTGGATTTCACCTCGTTAAGGGATGAGTTGTAATTTTCCAGCTGTAAACAAGATAACAGAGTTTCAATAGCATACTCTGACCCTTCAGAAATGTGTTCGTTCCTGTGGAGCTGAAACAATGTTCACAACTTTTCAAGGCACCAATAATCTTGAACTGATATTGTTTCACATTTGCAACAATCGAGTACACTTTTACCTTAGTCACAGTGCTGTAAAGTTTGGAGATATCATTGCTTGTTCGGGTCAACTTAGAGTTCACCTGATTTAAGGACGAATTGAAGAGTTCCAGCTGCATAGCAAATAAACGATTAGTCTTTCTGTTTTCCTAATACCTTGCCCCCATGAAGCCAAACACAGTTCACTTCAGTGTTGTTTTTTTTAGTTACTCTGTTTTAAGGCACAAATCTTTGTTCTTGATTTCTAAATTTCCTTTTACTTGGTTGAGACGGTAAGAAGTAATTGGTAACATTTCCATAAGTAGTTTTTGCTTTGAAACATTATATGAAAAGCATATTTCAGGGGAATCATTTATACTCTAATCACCCTGAAACGATTATAAATATTTTTAAACTAATCTTAATAAACACGAACACAGCATCCGGACCGGGCATCTCGTTTATTGATGCAGGATACAGCGAGCGTTACATCATCTATAGCCCCTTGGGATTCATCATACTTACAAGCCGCCTGAAATGCTGCTACAGTTAACGCGAATCATACATGATGAACATACTTCAGTGTCATTAGCAAAACGCTACAAAATATATTTTCCTTTTAATTAAATATTGCATGAAATCTTAAATGTATTTGTCTTTAGATGTGTATGCTATGCAATCCATGAAGAGCAAAGAAAATTTAAAACTGACAGGAATGAAACGGATGTTGCCAAAGATTTCCGTTAAACAAGATCTACATGTGTAGTGATGAGGCAGTGAGAGTCTTTTTTCACGTTGGGAAATAATTTATAATGGTAGATGGAGTGAATTTTGGATGAAAACAGTACCTCGGAAATGGCATTTAATCATTTTCTGAGTTAAAAATGATTATTATCAAGGGAGATTTCTAGAATCTATTGAGCAAAAACATTAAAATCTTTACCGTTGTTACAGTTCTCTTCAGTTTGGCAAGGTCGTTCTTTGTTCCATTCACTGCGGCCCTCACATCCTTCATAGTAGAGTGAAGGTTTTCAACCTTGAGGGATAATTCCGATCAGTAAAAGTAACTGACGTTTGTTACCAGATATACCGTCGATTAAAAGAAATGACTCATTTCTTAGGAAACAGACTGACATGAATGAAACGGATGTTGCCAAAGATTTCCATTACACAAGATCAACATGTGAAGAGACGATGTTTTGAGATGAGGCAGTTAAGGTCTTTTTTCACGTTGGGAAATAATTTTAATGGTAGATGGAGTGAATTTTGAATGAAAAGATTACCTCGGAAATGGCATTTAATCATTTTCTGAGTTAAAATGATCATTGTCAAGGGACATTTCTAGAATTTATTGAGCAAAAACATTAAAATCTTTACCGTTGTTACAGTTCTTTTAATCATTTTCTGAGTTAAAATGATCATTGTCAAGGGACATTTCTAGAATTTATTGAGCAAAAACATTAAAATCTTTACCGTGGTTACAGTTCTCTTCATTTTGGCAAGGTCGTTCTTTGTTCCATTCATTGCGGCTCTCACATCCTTCATAGCAGAGTGAAGGTTTTCAACCTTGAGGGATAATTCCGATCAGTAAAAGTAACTGACGTTTGTTACCAGTTATACCGTCGGTTAAAAGAAATGACTCATTTCTTAGGAAACAAGGTAAAAACTTACAGATAGCGTTACCCTTTTTACAGTGCTTTTTAGCTCAGCAAGGTCATCGTTTCTTTTATTCAATGTGGACTTCAATGTCTCATTCAAAAACTGGAGGTACTTGAGCTGAAATTAAGAAATCCAATTAGAATGACAGGAGCTTATTGCATGCATAACAGATCCTGTGTGGTTCATCCAGATAAACATTAACTGCACCGGTCTCTTATTGCAGACCAATATTTTGCTTAGCTAGTTCCAGCGGTGTATCTAAGGGAAGAGGATGTCTCTCGATTTCCCCTTTGGAGGAGTTTTTCTTCTTTTTTTTTCTTTGCGGTAACTAGTAAATCCGAAGAATCTACATGGCATAAATCTCCTCCAGTGCTCGATTTTCCATCTACCTCTTTACCAGTCCTTCTTGCCTCGTACACATGAGCCCACTGACAGAGAAAAATTAGGTACAGCGGCAGTATGAGCCACTTCATGGCGAACTCTCCCCTCCCCATCCATTCTATTAAGCCCTTACCAATTCAGAATTGCTTGTCGTATTTTTCCTTTCAAATTTCTTCTCGGGTGTTTGACTTTCAAGGTGATGAGGCCCTGAAGTAGAAAGAGTTAAAGCAAATAAAACACATAAAGTCAAGCTTTGCAGGAAGGCCTTAAATGGAAGATATCAAGAAATTACGGGTGATTTTCAAAAAACAAACCATTTTGTTCCGAGCATTTACATCCATGACCAATTTTCCTAGACAATACCAGCAGACTCACAAGGAGGACAAGGAACAAAATTAAACACGTGACAACGGCCAACCACAATAGACGATGGTTGGACTGCTGCTTGCTTGGTTTTATGCGTTCTAGATCTTCTTGCAAGATCCATGAGTCATCTTCCGTCTCGGTGTGATTCTGGTCCTCTGCATGTTCCTCAGCTGATTGCAAAAGTATGGGCTTGTCTGAAGGCAACTCTCCTTCTTTGAAGGCTAAACTTCTTAATGCTTGAGCAAATCTCCTGTGCATTCTGGAAAACGTTCTGTGGAGTGTTTCAATCAGTTATTATTTAAAATTAATCATCTGATGTGTACCCGACTAACACTGACGTGTTGAGGTGTTGACGTGTTGCTGTTTTGACCAGACTAGGGTAAAATAAGATTAGAAATATCTGCTGGTAAAAGAGAACTTCATTAACTCATGATGTCATTCAACACGTAGGTTAGCTGCTCTAATGCTCTGGGTGACGCAAATAGTGGCTAAATACCGGTAATAAGAATACGTTCTTATGTGAGAAAGACAGGTTCCTCTCATATATTTCAAGTGAGGGTTACACATCAGCCAAAAAGTGTTATTGAAAGCACAAAGACGTAAATACATGAAAACAAAACAAAAACATTTGTTTACTCGTACACTTTAGGCTCTTCATTCTCACGGTCGCTGTTCCATTCGTGTTTCCATTTTCGATATAGTTTCAAGTTTCAATTTGTTATTGTCCTAGTGAAGACTGACGCAGGCATAAAACGCTATTGAATTACGACATTTAATATTTACAAAAGGAAGCGGGGTAATTTAATGACAGCCTACTTGAGATTTCTGATGTGTACTAATAACGTTGTCACCCTCTACCTTTACTCCGCCAACGAACCCATTTTTGATAATCGCACACTACTCTGGCCAAAAGCTAGAGATTGGTAGAGGGACAGTACCATCAATTTAAAACAAAGCTTCTGAAGTCTTTTCTGATGCGTGCAGAAAGTCGCTGTGAAAGCGACATCTTTTCCCTTTTCATGACTCAGGGGCGTGACAACGCCATTTCATTTTTCCAAGCCTTAAAAAGCAACGGCTAAACAGCCGACTCTGGGAAAGATGTGGTGCATGGCGAATTTCCCCAAGTTATCGCCTGGTTTATTATCGAGGATGATGCGAAGGAGGGGGGTAAGGGGGTTTGAACTGACAACTGTTAAACTAATGTCTGAATATTGGGTCACGCAATTATCACATGACAGTAAGTTTACATACGTGAAAATATTTGAGGAATTGTCTTCCTGTTCAACCTTTACGCGCGTTAAGTTTTCGTTGAAGTGCACCCGGTCGTTTCCTTTCCCTCCCCTTTGTTGACGTCGATGTCTCAGATACCGTGGACTCCTGAAAACCAGTGTGTTGCAGGATTGGAAACAAGAATAATCCATTTTCATAAAAGAACGAGGTACTGCAAAACTGAAAACTCTCTTCTGATTGCCATATATGACACCTCTATGTCCAGATATATGTCCAATGTTTCGACCGTTAGATCATCCTCTTTACTAATTCTTAACGTACTCTGAGAAATAATCCGTCTGCGGATACTAGGTACCCATCAACTAAGTATTTTATCGAGCCAGCCGGTGTTTCTATCCACGAATTCATGATCATTAGTTTTCAGTTGCTGGATATCAACACGGACAAAATTTCGGCTTCTGGTGTAGTTTTACTATATGTCAACTAGTCAGCTTAATGTTGATACTGTGCTTAATTGTTTCTTTGGCCAAATATTCATTAATAACTCTCGTCACTTGAAGAACTTAATGTTTATGTACTCACCTCGCTTTAGTCACTTCCTCAGCTTCACCACGCACAGAGAAAATCTGATTGAGAACAATGACTGGCTAGGCTGATTGACGTCGCGTGACCCTATGAAAAGCGAGCGCGAGCCTCGCGGAAAAGAGAAAAAGCTTGGGTCACGTTTTGACACCTGATAACTGGAATGTCCGTAATGAAGAAGTTGTGCCCTCGAGAAAATAAAAAGGGCACAACAAGGTTTCAAACAAATATTTGCGTCTCCGTTTGCAGTTAAATATTTTGAGTACCCAAACTGGGTAAGAAGTCTTTCTTCACCTGCTACAAACGTGTTATTTGTCGTTTCATATTATCTTAAAAAAAAAAGTTGACCAGTTGGCTTCCATCTCATGTAGTCGGCCCAGATTCTTGGCTTACATCTAGTTTATTCAACGTAAGCTTTTCACTCTTTTTTGCTTAACGTGCCTACCTTCTTGGAAAGCCCTAGGCACTGTTACGGTGTCGCGTAAATCCGTAAACCTTCCCCCAAGCCCCTCACGGTTTTCAAAATGGCGGACTACAGTGCGACATTCGTAACGATTCTTGTGATCTGGATCAGCTTCGACTCTGGCCATCGTTGAACGAATCTGATTGGGTTTCTTCGGATTCATTTTGATTTGTTGGGTTTAGTTCGATGTTTTTTCAGCGTCTCGCCCTTGCTTTTGGACTTGTTATCGATTGAACATGAAAGCTACGTCGTCAAACGTTCTCACATGTGCGTTTTAATCTGAACAAGTCTAACATATCCTTTAAAAAATTGTCGATTGAAAGGGAAAAAAAAGGAAAAAGGAAAGAAAAGAGAAGAAAAAGAAAGACAAAGATAAGTTGACGTGGCCAAAGTTCGAGCCCTTATACTTTTAGACTCGGGAGGGGTTGGTATATATATTGCACTAGGTACGCAGAGCGAAGTGGCGAGGTTTTGCACAAAAATATATTTGACGCGCGTAAAAAGATTGCAAACTTCTCAGTTTATAATCTCCTGTGCACATTAGATACACATGTATCTACTCTACTGATGTTCCGCCCAGTCTCTGCCGGTCAATTGATCAGTGTACAAACACTGTTCTAACCAAGTCCTCCTTTCTTCATAATTTTGGCATTGACAAGAGCTGTTTATTCCGACCCCTCTGCATTTTAAACCACATTGTTTTTTTACTACAATACTTTACAACTTTATAAAAGTTTACTCTTGGAACTGTGGGGATGAGGCGCACAAAAATAGAGGTAGTTTAAAAGTGTTGACGGGCCTGCACGACTCATGCCATTTGAAAGCGATTTAAAATATTCTCCCTTCAAAGTTTATCTCTAACCAGGATATCTTTCAATGACTTTTCTTTTCTACTTTTTGAGCGCCTCAGGCCTCAGCTCCAGAGTTCTGCCAGGCAGACTAACAACGATTTTTTTTTTCACTGATGTTCTTCTATTCACGTAAAGGACTTAACCAAAAAGGCGGTACTGCTCGTAGTCCATGATAACCTCGAAAAATTACACCCAGTCAAATTTCAAATGCTCTTGGTTTAATTTGGTAAATTACTCCGAGTACCGCCGACTCAATTTTCTACATGGCGTTATACAAAATTAGGACTCAACGACAATTGAAAATTTCTTAAGTTATCACATTTTATGATTCATCAAATTTTATCACGTGCATGCAATTTAATTTGTCTAAGTACGTGCAGCGAAGCTGTTGAAGATAAAAAAAAAAAACATGCTTGGGTAGTTGTCTGCGGACACTATCCTCTACCACCTTAAATTGAGCCTTGCTTTTCATAAACTGTTCGTTTCTAAGAACACATTTTGTCTAAGAAAAAATACCCGAGAGTTTACTTAAAAAAAAACCAGCTAGGGGCTATTACTACTACATTATTGAACGAGAATGAATCCCATGGTCTTGATGTTTTTGTGCCCATCATCTTCTGCCGATTTACCCAGTGCCACGATTCCACAGGCGTTCGAGTGACCACGATGACCTCCTGTGCCAAAACCGATGCTGGAATCACAGCTGTGACAATGATTTTCTTGGCTAGCAATGATACCGATTCTAGCCCTGGATTTAAAGGCACCACCCGCACAAAATGCGTTGAATCCTTCCCGGGTGCAGTTTGATTGTAGTGAGGCGTTTGAGCGGAGTAGCGACTTCCATTTGTCTCGGCCCAAAGAGGTTGGGTGGTATTTCCCATCAGCGATCAGAGAGAACAGGGAGGAAGCCGTTATATTGATGGCGATGAAGTTGGTTTCTTTGCCGTTCTTCATACCGAGACAGATCCTGGTGAACTCAGTTTCCCAGTAAGTTGGCAACATGGTCTCTCGTCTGTCAAACCCAGTCATCCCAGAAAAAGGGTTGTATTTCAGCTTGTTGCTCCAAATTAATTGATTATAATGAAAGGTGTTCTAATAAACAAAATCAAATCATCAAAATGATTTTTTTCCCCGCGTGACATCTTTATTTAAGTGAAATTTGAGGACGAGAAATATCTGCACTGCATGAATGGAAAAAAAAAACCAGTAATCAATTTTCCCCCTCTAATTTCAGTTGATATAGTGCCTTCCCACTCACTATAATTCGAGCTTCTCTAATTTTCTTTGAAGGGGCATATTTTTGTTTCACTCGCGCCATGTAATCGATAACTTTTAAAATTCAATCATCTTTTTTCTCTAATTTTATCTATTTCTGAACAGGGCACGTAAACTCAATTGATTCAAAAAATCTTTTCCAGGACTATTTTGCAATCATGATACATTTAAATTTTCCAGTTTCAAATAACGGCGCCAGAAAAATAATTATTTTAAGAACTATTAAATTGCTTACGATTAGTGCATTTGTGCATTTTTATCAACACTGTTCCACGGGCATAGGGTAAAATATGGACTGGACAATTTTTTGGACCGTTTTTTGGGACCATTTTTTTGGACCATCTTTTGAACCATTTTATAGGTGGAGGGAGGGAAGCACACCATTAGTTCTCAGGGAGGGGTGGGATGCAGTCTATCAGTATTAAGGGAGGGGTGGGAGGCAGAGTGTTAGTACTCGGGGAATTGATGAGAGACGGACTATTACTACGCAAGGAGGGGTGGGAGGTGGTTGTAATAGTAAACACTACTGGTTACTGGCCCAGCGCTAAAATTTTGACATACAAAAAATCAGTCGAAAAACCAATTAGAATAGTTTGTACGATCGAAACCTCCCACTCCTCCATGAGTAATAACACTCTACCTCCCACCCCTCCCTCAGCACTAACGGTGTGCTTCCCCTCCCCTTTAAAATGGTCCAAAAAAAAAATGGTCCAAAAAAATTGTCCAAAAAATAGTCCACTCTATATTTTACCCTATGCCCTGTTCCATGTTTACCTTGGAACAATCCATCTTCATGACCAGAGTCCAACCACCACCCCCACATCCATTAAGAGCTGTCATGTGACAGTAAACAGGATGGATCCTTTTACCAAGCTTCAACGGGTATTTCTTGTTACCGTCAGATCTGAATTTGTAGAAAATGACATGAAAAGAGTGTAATTAAAAAATTCTTAAAAGAAGAGGTAGGTTCGAAGGTTTGATTTGGAGTCTTAATACCTCACAACGAAAATCGCGCTGAAGGCAGCTTTGGATAGGAGCAAAAACATATTCTCTACTCAGCAGCTGCAGGGTTTTTAGATCATTGTAAAATGGATTTTGCGAAAGGAAATAAACTTACCCATTTCTGTTGTACAGTTCCTTGCAACTTTTAGCGGCTGGGGCTTTAAGGTTGAAAAAAAGAAATCAGAAGAAAGCAAAGGAAATTTTGATCTTTCTCTATCAGTGACCTCATCACCTGACGAAGAACCCTCTTTCTTCATCGGAAGTAGACAAATGAACTTGATTATAAACATGGTGCTTCATGGGCACCTCCGTACATCATTGAAGCTCTACCACAAAGACCATACTTACGTGTTTCCTTAGAAGATTTTCCACTGAAATTGGTTGCAGAACGTGATTCGTGTTTGCACTCATCATGCCCTGCGTTCCAGGTCTCGTTCTGGCACGATATGCGTAAGTTACTTTGATTGGCTTTGTTAAGCTAGGTGTAAGAAAATTTTAAAAATAAGGATACCAACAAGATCATTACAGTAACTGTTATTTGTTATCTATATGTAATGATACCGGTTGATTTCTCGCGTTTTTTTTTTCCTTAGATACTTTTAAAGATTTTGCTGTTACTCTCTGATTCAAACGATCGCATTGCATGGCCCCCTAAGATTGCACAACTCGATGAACCAGAAGATCCGAATATATAGGTCTCATTGTGCACTGTAGTTCTACGTCCTCGGAAGGGGTCGGATAAGCAAGCCGAAAAAAACACAACAAGAAATCGAAATCATTGAGAGAAATAGTCGTTGAGGAATGTTATTATTTTTCTTTCCATTATCAAGAAACTTGGATAAGTCGACAATAAATTACTTCATCTTATCGCCAGACCGATAATGTCTTTGATAACGTTTGTCAAATAGATTCCATGTTACCGTGCAACTGTTTAGTAGCAGATCACAGTTGACGTCTAAATGTGGTTAAATAAAGAAAAAAAGGGCATCCGAGAGGCAGTCAGGTGTGGCACGGATGTTCTTACCGCAATTTGACGATTTTACCTTTGTCATGGTACAGTTCAGTACCGCGAGTTCATTACTGGTTCTATCTGACGCGCACTTCACCTGATTAAGACAGCAAGAGAAGTAATCAGAAAAGAGCACCTTTACACACGGCAACAATCGCATAAACTATTACCTTAATCAAAGTGCCGAGAAGTTCTGAGGGGTCATTGCTTGTTTGTTTTGCCGGTTTTATTAGATATAGCTTGCTCTACCCTCCAGAAATATACTCGCTCCTATGAATCCTAAACAAAGGACGCTTGAATGCTGTTTTCTTTCTTACATAGCACCATAAACAAAAGAGATTTGAAAATAAAACTGAAGAGGTAAAATCGGTATTAAGTAAATGTTACCAAAGATTTCCGTTGTTGGTTGTAAGGAAATTTCTTCAACTTGGAAAAGGGACCAATGATAAATATGGCAGGTGGAACTAAACGAATGAATAGAAAAATGTCTTCAGAAAAAAAAATGTTGATAATAAGTGAGGTCTTTACCGTTGTAACAGTTTCTTTAAGATTAGCAAGGTCCCTCTTTGTTCCATCCAATGCAACCTTCACCTCGTTCATAGCAGAGTTGAGGTTTTCAACCTAAAGTGAAGATAAAGATACAACACATAACTTCTTTCGGCATTTCCAGTTTTTCTTCAGGAAGAAGCTTAGACATTTTAACAGTTTCCGGCCCTATTTCTCATAATTGATTTTAGAATAATTCCACACTCGTTCTTAGGGTACTACTACAAATGTTGTAATCTGACTAGCTACTGGCTACTTACTCCATGATGGTAGTGAGTAGTTACTAAATGACATTTTTTAGAATCCTTAACTAAGAAACAGCAAAATCTTTACCGTTGTTGTCATTCTGTTCAATTTGGCGATGTCATTCTTTGATTCATCCACTGCGGCCTCCACTTTGACCATAGTAGAGCTGAGATATTCAAGCTATCATGGTGGATAAATGAATAAAGCGGGTAAGTTTCTTAAGAAACTGTGGTGCTGCGCCGGTAGAAGAGAATAACAGGGTAATATAGTATTATCAACTCAGGTGATAATACTAAATTACCCTAACATGGGAGATGGTTGGTTAAAAATGTAATCGGAAAAAGTAACCGACATTAGTTACAAGATGGACACACGTTTCAAAGAAGTCGAACACATTTCTGAGCAAAGAAAGCAGAGGCTTACAGATACGGTTACCCTTGTTATAGTGCTTTTACCTCAGTGAAGTCATCATTTCGTTAATTCGATATAAACTTCAATGTCTGATTCAAGGACAATTGGAGGCATTAATCTTGAAATTCAATAAAAATATCCAAATGTCCCACATTTACCTGAACAGTTATTGTATTTCTTGTTGCAGATAAGCACTTGGGTTAGCTGTTAACCTGACTGTGCCCCCTCAGTTTTTTAATTACTTCAGAATATTAGAGAGCTGTTTCCTATTGGTTATTCTCTCTTAGATCTCTTACCGAATCAGAAATACTTGTCTCATTCTCCCTTAGGAAATCCTTCCCAGTCGGTGGATTTTTATGGTGTCGGACCCCTGAAATAGAAACAGTCTGTCGCAGGAGACAAGGTAAACCCTGCAACTCCCATTGGTGACCAAGACAGAATTTCTCCTTACAATATCAATACAATATCAATACAATATCGATACAATATCAATACAATATCAATACAATATCAATACAATATCAATACAATATCAATACAATATCAATACAATATCGATACAATATCAATACAATATCAATACAATATCAATACAATATCAATACAATATCAAGCAGAAAAGTGATGAGAATAACAGATAAACAATAGTTAGAGGATTATTAGTTGATCAAATACCAAATTCTTCAAACTAACTTCACAAGAACTATCTGGCAGACAGTAAGGAGAATCACTGATAAAATCTTGGGAGTGAAAGGATTAAAGTAAACAAAACACACACTCATATAATTTAAGCTTCGTAACTGGGCCTTAAATCAAAATATAAAGAAATTTCAATAAAATAAGGAGAAAAAAAATTGAATAAAACCTAACCATTTTGTTCAGAGCATCCACACCTGCGATTAATTTTCTCGGACATTATCAGCAGACCCACGAGAAGGGAAACCATCAAAATTAAACACGTGACGATGGCCAGCCACAATAGACGATGGTTGGACCGTTGCTTGCTTGGTTTTATGCGTTCTAGATCTTCTTGAAAGATCCTTGGGTCATCTTCCGTTTCGGTGTCATTCTGCTCGTCAGCATTTTCATCAACTGATTGTAGAAGCATGGGCTTATCGGGAGCCACCTGATCTTCTTTACAGCCTAGATTTGCCAAGACTCGTGCTATCCTCCTGTGCATTTTGGATATCTGTCTGTGAAGTGTTTTAAGGAGAGTGTATTTTTAAAGAACTCATTTGACCTGTAACTCAAATTTATCAATTATAACGGTTTAGTTTGTTTCTACACTCATTTACAACTTTGGTTTTTCATACCATAGCATTTCTTGTTTTTTTCGTCTTCTTTGTCTCTGTAATAACACCTGGGTTTTTACTTAAAGTGATTCTAAAATAATAAATTTGATGAAAGCAGAATTGGAGACCTAGTCTGAGGAAGAGGTTAGTTCAAATGTTTTACTGTTTTTCATCGAGGAAAGAGAAAATTGTAGGTGCTAACATCGTATAATCAAGTGGGAAATTTGGGAAAGTGCGAGTAACGCCTGCAAAAAAGTTGTATGCAATTCTTTCAAGGGTTTAGTTAAACTAGAACCAAACAAAGTAAGTGATCGGAGACAACTTTCGTTGCCCTGAGTATACGAGTTACGAGTTACAAAATTACTAAGACAGGTATTCTGCTAGATGTATTAAACCTCGAGTATCCTGAAGCGTTGTGCTCATTTAAAAATATTTAACTGTCCGGTATCGAATGGAAGAAACCAATATTATGGCTACTCGAACAGATTTAAAAGGTGAGCCTTGTAACAAAAGGTCCTGGTAGTGCGAAGAAATCTCAGTGCAAACTTTGCAGTCATCCTGAAAGCTTGAAGGTAACCGGCTTTTATTTCTATTGTGGCGGCGTTATATTTTTTGTAGATCATAAGTGCACAATTTTCATATGAAACTTTGAAGATACGTACTATTCAATGGTGTAACATTATACATGATTGTACTCTGTGGCTTTTACTTTTGTCACCGAGATTACATTGACCAGTATTTGTTTTCCAATGCACGGGAGAAATGGTTGCTTTCAGCTAAAAGTAAATTCAGCTTGGCAACACCAGGTTGAATCATTTTCCATAGAGGGTGACACGGTGAATGAGCTGATGATTGGAGTCGAGGGAACCAGTCAGAACACCAGAACACCAGAAATACAATATCCGGAGTTTCAAATTTGATGAATATATATTTGACACAACACAGGATGTTTTACATAAAAATTTCGGTTTCTATCTAAGACTGTTCATGACGAAGGTAAAAACGCAATTAAATTCAAAATTTAAAACTCGCAAAGCTTTAACAACGTTTTTCAGTGAGAACTCAGTCAAAGCAGCCGTTTATATCGTAATTGGTATTGTTTCAGTCTTCTAATGAACACTCTCCTCTTTCTTTACTTCGCCCTCAAAGCCATCATTAATAGTCACATACTGCTATGGGTAATTGTGGAGAAGCTCTTAAAGTGAAAGTATCATCAATTTGAAACAAAGCTTTTACAGTCTTATCTGATGTAGCAATTCTCTCTGAAAAGCGACTTCGTTTGTTTCAAATGAGCCCCTCTCGCGCAAAAAAATGTGCTTTGGACGACTTATACACCAAATCCTTTTCTTTCATTTTCTCAGAAGAATAATGGGTATATCTTCTATTCTATGAAGGATACGGGGGGATGGAAAGACTCCCGGAGTTGGACAGGATGGTGAAACATTTGAGCAATTGTCTTGCTGTTCAATCTTATGCATGCCTTTCAATGAGTGTACCAAAGGCTGCTCTATAACTGTGGATGACGAACACTTCATAAAATAAATATTCTTTCCTAAGATATTTATCTCCCTATTGGCTACTCAGCGGGTCAAGATGTCTCTCGAAAAACCGTCACTAATTTCATTGGCACTGAAAGTGAGTCAAGGCATCTCTCTCCTTTGAATATGGAATTTGTGACACCGTATTGTCTACCATCACTATGCTAATCTAGTAATGGATAAAAAACAGGGTTTTGAATTTCCTTATTATTTTGAAATGTTTTAGTAGCACAGGATGTTTTAGCAAAGGGACGAGAGCCACATATGTTTCCACATAAAACTTTCCGTTTCTGTCTTGGGCTGTTCATGACAAGGGAGTAAAATACGATTAAAATTCGAAAGATGAAACTCACAATCACGTTTCCGACGTGTTTCAGTGATCATTTGATCGAAGCAGTCGTTACATCGAAATTTTTTTCAGCCTCTTACTACCCCCCTCTCTTTCTTTTCTTCGCTCGTGCATTCATCACTGATCTTAAAGAGATAGTATCATTAATTTCTAATAAAGTTTTTGTAGTCTATACTCGTGTAGCCAGTCCCTCTGAAAAGGGTACCTTTTCCTTCATATTCGTCATTCTCATGCAAACATGTGCTTTGCACGACTAAGGCGTGTAACATTTCCTTTTCATTTTTCTTACCATTAACAAAAAAAAGTTTTTATCCGACTCTAGGAAGGTTGCTGTGCATGGTGAGATTCCCCGAATTGAAAAGCCAGTTTACAACTAAACATAAACTGAACAATCGAGGAATTGTTTTTCTGTTTAATATTGCATGTGTTATCATCGATAGTGGACATGAGACTGAAACGCACCCAGTTGTTTCATTTTCCTCCCCTTTATCGACCTTGAAATCTCAGATGCCCGAAGCTGTTGTTCAAAATCCAGTAAGGCGCAGGATTGAAAAAAGAAAGGTACCGAAAAGCTTGAAATGCTGATCCATTTCTTCTATATGTCACAATTTGGAATAAAAGCGTTTTTCTGCAATCCCAAACCTTAGTAACGTGTCTGAAATATGTCTCTAGCGCATAAACAAGTTGAAGATTCTCCCTGCTAAATCTTAACACACCCTGGGAAAATATCCGTCTGCAGATATTAGGCACTTAGTCTTAGTTACAGACCCAGCCCGTGCTCCTATCTACGAATTTATAAGCAGCTGCCTTCTCCATTTTGGATGTTGTTCGCTTCATTTCTTTTTCAGTTGCTTAATATCTACGCGGACAAAATTTCGGCCTTATTTTCACCACATCTCTTAGATTCAGCTGAAATGTGGTTACTACGTAACTGAACCTTTGGTCCAAATAATAACTCAATGTAACTGTCCTCATCTAAAGAACAATGTTATGTACTCACCACGCTTTGCTAGGTTTACCAGCTTCACCACGTACAGCGATGATCTGATTGAGAGCGATGACCATAAAATCAGGTTCGCTCAGGTCACGAGACCTTATGGAAAGCCGCGCCTTGGAAAAGAGAAGATTGGGGTCGAACAATGAGGCATGCGTACCTTCTCTAGAAATCGAATATCCTTTCGTATTATCAAATATCACTTTGAAATTTTCCACTTTGGCCAGTGGAAAATATTCTGTTAATTCTCTCTGTATGTGGTTGAAAATAATTTCACATCTAAGTTCGAAACAAAAACGTCACTCGAAGGTATGCTGTCCTTTATAATAAGGTTCCTTCGTCTATTCCTTGGTGGATGATATATACACATCTTTGGGAAAGGCGTATCGCTTCCGTAAGAAAGCAAAATACAATGTTATTTTTCGGATAGAAAGTACGTTAGGTAAACACTCCGTTTACCACTGTACAGTTCATCGAACATCAGCCTTCAAAACCTCAAACGCCAGGAAGAAACATGAATAAATCTTCAAATAGGAACAACAAAGACGGTGAATTAAGGTCAATTAACTGCCAGAGAAGGGAGGGGTCGTAAGAACATTACAGAGCCTTATAAGGGAATCAGTGTTTACTGTGACACAACCAGAATCCATCGACCCCCTAGTTAAAATAGTTACAAAATTTCCTAAAAAACTTTAATAAAATGGCATCTGAGTCTGCTTTTTTAAAATGTTCAGAGTTTCTGCCTCCGCAACATCATAAGGTAGATTATTCCACTCGTTGACCGCGACTAGTTGAGCAGGCTTTGTTTAACGATTAACAATGACCGTATATGGCTACTTTGGAACAAAGGCGGAAACAGCTTTAAAATACACGAGGGATTTTTCAAAATTTCCGAATATCATACGAGCGGCAGATTTAAAGCATCGGCAAAACTGATGATACGACAAATCTGCCTCGTGGGGGTGATTCTGGTAGATTTTTTAGGATGCAAATGGTCACGGTGGGGTGTATGGTGGGGCGACTGTAGCTTTCGTATCTGGAATAAGAAATGTCACCGTTTTTTCCTTTACATTGCTTAAAACTGGCGAAAGATATATTCAATTAGAGGCTCACTGTGCGATTCAAAGGTGATGAGAGCATGTGTAACCTGGTATTAACGTCCGAAGCCTACCACGCCGTTGAATCATGTAGAAGACTATCGTCATTTGCTCGATTGTTTAAGGTGCGGGTATTTAAATTTCGCGCTGCGTGAATGAGATTTTGTTCCTGATGTGCACAAAAAGGTTCATATTCTCCTTCCTCTGGCGTGTGATTTAAACCTGGTGATAACGTCCGAAGCCTCGCGCGTCGTTAATTCATGTAGTTTTACAGGTATCTTTCTCTTTCCGTATTTCAATTCAACGAAAGGAGTTAAAAAAACAATGGCAAGTGGAAATAGTCGCACACGCTCGTCAATTTCTCCCATTCGACTCGACTGTTCAATCCGAGTATATTTAAATTTCGCGCTTCGTAAGCAAGAAAAACTGAATAATCTCCTCCCACAATTTTTTTGTGTTTACACAAACCGAAATCTAATTGATACCTATTCATCCTTTTGTGTAATAGCAGGAGGTGAGATTTTTTTCGCATAGTCATGTTCTGCTGGTTTCTTTCTTTTTGCTCAACAGGTTACGTGTATTCAATCACATCACTGACGCTGTCAGATTCATCTACCAAATTTTAGGGCAATCGAATTTCGCGCTACGAAAGTTATCCTATTTTCTTAGTTTGCATAAAGCGCTGCGCAATCGCCTCCCATAATTTGCTTACCGTAGCGTAAATGCATAAGCCCAGCAAAAACTTAAAACTATTTAGCTTTACAAGCAATGGTTTAAGTTTATGGAGATGGTTGGCTCTTAACGGTCGAAAATCATGTGCAAACGTAAAATACTCACATGGACGCGGCCCGTTAAGACTGACCAGCTCAGTTTGCGATAAATGTATTCGTGCAAAAAAAAACATAACAGTTGGTTTGCTCTAC